TCTGGTTTACACCACTTAAAGTCAGTAGGCTAATTATTCTTTTGAATTGGTTAATAGCAGTGTGATTTATTTTTTGGTTTTTTTGGTGCTTTCCTTTCAGAGCCTCCACAGTTTGTTGTAAAGCCTCGAGATCAGGTAGCTGCACTGGGGAGAACGGTGACTTTCCAGTGTGAAGCAACTGGGAACCCTCAGCCAGCCATCTTTTGGCGGAGAGAGGGAAGTCAGGTAAAACAACCTTTCTCTGCCTTCTTCCAAAGATGATTTCACATGAGAGAAAAATATTTTATTTATTCTTTTAAAGGTGTGGAAAACAGGTTTAGAGCTTGGAGTTGCTGGGTATTTATTCCTTTCTTCTAAGTCACGTACCTTCTGTGCAATGATAACCCAACTAAGAGGGATGTCTATGTTTTGCTGTCTTCCATTTTCTCCATGAGTGTAAAAAAATAAATCTGTAAATCAGCTAGAAACATTCCATGTTTCACTGCTGTGATAATCTACTTCATCCAACAGGGAGAACTTTTAAGACATGGAGGTGGAGATGACTTCTGCTAAAGTTTGTTGGAAACCCCCAAATACTCCCAGGTTTTCAGAAAGTTTCTTTCTGGGTTTGTGGTACAGCAGTTAGTTTGCCATGTGTTTTTTAGTGTCTGGCAAACTAACCCATTTGCTGTATTGATCTGCATCACTGCATGGGTAGGGCTCTAGTTATGGGCTGAGGAAATCTACTTTCCCACTCCATCAGTTGATTGACGGACCATACCTGAATAGGTCACTTTTTCTCCCAGGTTCCTTACTTGAATGGGAGGGAAAATTATTTCCAACCTCTTTGTAAAGGATCTTGAAAGCCAGTGGGTGAAACACAATATAGCACAGCAAGAGAATCACAGTTTTCTTTCAGAGTCATCTTTTGAAGGAGGGATGTGACACAAAGTATTCTTTATGGGAAGGAAAGAAGGAATATGGGATTCTGGTTTTCCTGTGAATGAAGGAATGAATGGTGCAATAGCATATGACAGGGTTCTTTGTGTTACAAAACAATAGGTCAGAGAAATTGAGAACACTTAGAGATTGGCTTCTTTACTCCATTTGCAACATTTCTGTCTGAATACCTAAGTACAACTAGACTACAAACCAGATTCAGATGATAGTCTTCAATAGTATAAGTATACCAGAATATTATTCTTATATTTTTGTGTTAGCTGGATCTTGTTTATTTATTTTCTTATTTTACCAAGTGTTGTCTAGAACATCATTTTTTTTGGCTCATTTTTGGCTCTGCTGAGTGATGACCAGTTGTGATGACTGAAGGAACTGAAAGAGGTCAACGACCAGGGTTTGCTAAAACTGAAGTAGAGAATGTTGTGTCCCATTCCTTTGGATGATTTTTGGAAATGCAAAATGTAATTAAACAAGAAAGAGAGTTAAAAAATAGCCTCTGTAACCTCTAAGTATTTCCATTCACAAATTTTTCAGACAGTAGTAGAAATTTGGGTTCAGTATTTGATGTAAAGGACTTATATTATTTTGATTACCATTCTGATTTTTGACCAGTGTTGGTAAATACTATGTACTTCATGCCAAAACTATCTAAAAAGGCATAGGATTTACTTCTGTATCATAAGACTTTTCATAAAACACAAACACTATGATTAGCAAGAGCTAAAGAGCATCAGTTAGAACATGGTGCTTGTAATGCCAAGGTTGTGGGTTCAGTCCCCATACAGACCATTCACTTAAGAGTTGGACTCAATGATTTTGTAGGTCCCTTCCAGCTCCAAAAATTCTGTGAACTAAGCTCAGTATCTCTTTTTTTTTAAAAAAACTTCTCCATTCTTAGGAAGGCAGATGTTAAAATACAGATAAGTAAACCAACATCTGCATTTAAGTGAAAGAAATCGAATGCCCTGGAGCAAGTTCTAAAAAAGAACATAAAAGCAAATTACTGAGGTTCACCACAGTTGCTTGCACCATTGTGGTATCTGTACATATCACATCTTCACTGGCGTCTGTTTAACTTTGTGCAACATCTGACATTAACCATAGAGGATGTTAGAACATTCCCAAAAATCTTACACAATTATGTGTGCGTATCTGCACCTATTTTATCACAAAAGATCCTATAGAATACCACATTGTGGTATAGACATGCTTAAGACAGGAAGAACCGCAAGTTTTCTGTGTAATGTAAAAAGATGGATTTGTTTAGATATATTAAAGTTAAGATTACTGATGTTTGAATTTGTTTAACCCTTCCCCCCCCCTTTTCTTTCCTGTACATCTTGCAGAATCTGCTTTTCTCATACCAGCCCCCTCAGTCATCCAGCCGATTTTCAGTTTCCCAGACAGGAGACCTCACCATCACCAATGTCCAGAGATCTGATGTTGGGTACTATATCTGCCAGACTTTAAATGTTGCAGGAAGTATCATAACAAAAGCCTACTTGGAAGTTACAGACGGTAATCATGGATTCAGTTTATCATTTCCAAGTTTTTGTTTTTGTTTTGAAGACAGCAGTGGAGTGATGTGACACTGCTTTGAAATCTGCTTTGCATAAATGTGGATTGCATGTGTCTTTGAACATAAAAATCCTGTTTTGACCGTCTCTGTCAGGGGTTTAAAATTCTGGATATTGTGTTACACTCTATTTCCATTTTGTATTTGGTAAGTACATTCAGTTTATGGATTTTTGTCAAATCTGTTAATGTTTATCTCACTCTTTTTTACCTTCCCCCACTACATTGAGTTTACTTTCAGATTATTTGCTGACTCACTCTTTATCCCTATTATTGTCCATTTGCTTAGCATCTCCCCTGTTTTTTAATATTCCATTTTAGCAATGAAAAAAATCTCAACCTATGTAGAGATCAGCAGGATAACATACAAATTAAAATTATTATACATCTCTTTTTAGGAGTAGTTGGGAAAAAAATTAGGATGAAAAAGCTACAGGGAGCATGACTACAAACAGTACTACATGCTAATGTGAGGCCAGTTTCTAATTATGAAACTCCATATTTTTAACAGCAGAGATACTCAGGGAAAATATTAATCTTAGCACTTATGGAGAAACAGGATAAGAGGAGGGAAGCTGTTGTCTGAGAATAGTTTATATAAAATAGCCCTTTGCACTACAGAAAACATAGAAATAATGCAGTACTAGAAACATGCAGTGAACCTGGAGAATAAAATTTTTTATTTACACCCCCTGAACTGAGATTGGAGGAATAGGACTACATCCTTTCTGGTTTCTCACAAGTGATAAGCCACATTTTGTGATCCTCTTTTATCCAATTTTTTCACTGGGGAGAAGGTTGTGGCAAAGTGAGAGATAAACTTAAAATAGAAAATTAAGAAAATGAAAGAGTTTTTCAGCTAGTGGCCTATGTCATCTGAACTTGGAAAAAAACCACTTTAAATATATTTTCTTTACTCTATGCACTGGATTATATGTCTGGATATATGGATGTCTGATATATATGGTAGGTAAATATATGATAGATATATAGAGATGATTTTAAGGTATATGGATATCTGATATATCTGATATATGGATATCTGATGGGTAGTTGTTTTCTATAATGTCTTGGGACAGTAATTTTTTTGGTACTTTCATGAAAGCGAAGGCAGGATATACTGAATGATACCTAGGTGTTCTTAATAGAAGTTGCCATCAACTTCAGTGGCACTTAAATTAACTGTGAATTTCAGTGGCATTGGATTTCTCCTCTAGAGCACAGATGGGTCAGACTCTTACCATTGGCAACTGCAAAGCTGATTACAAGCTTGTCAAAGTCAAATACAAATTTTAGGTGGGCTTATTTTTGACTGTCTCTGCAGAGAAAGATACTAATGGCCTCACAGTGCAATGCAACAGGTTGGGACAAGAACTAAAGGATAAATGAAGCAGTTGAAAACAGAGTGTCATTTGAACATGCAAATGAAATTATGGGTGTTGGAATTTAGCCAAAAAAAGCAGTACTAACACCCTGTCTGTTGTTATGAAAAGTAATTTAGAAATATCTGATGTTCACAAATTATCAGAACTTCAGGTTTGTATTTCAGCTACCAAACCAGTTCTTGAGTTACGTGAGCCCCGTGACACTGCTGAACAGATTTATGTCATTTAAAGTTATGGCTATTTTCAGATCATCAGTCCATGTCATCGTGGATGGTACAGGTACAGCAGATCACTGAAACACAATAAGATAACTTTTACCTCTTTTTTTGGTAGACAACCATGTAGACAGTCATTCTTTTCTGTGAATACTGAGACTGCTTTATACCTTTCTCTGTACAGTTATTAAATAACCCATGAAAGATGCATTAAAATTGATGTAAACACACTGTGGGATTTTCTTTGTGGCTTTGAAGTCATGTTGACAGATTAAGTCATCACAGAACTAAAAGTCAGAAACTACTGGAAAAATATTTCTGAGTTGAAATTTCTTTAATATGGTAGTTCTATCCATTAGCTTTGTGTTTACTTTACCCCACTGCTGGGCATCTCCTGATTAGGAAGCAGCACCAAGATGCGTTGCTGGAACGTAATGAATGTTTTTTTTGAGTAGTACACATTTGTAAGGTTATCCCCTGACAGCCCACATCCTTTTTCTCTTGTCTTTAAATACTGGAAGTATGAGTTCTGTTATGCAGGCCTGCCACATGGTAGAAGATGGAAGAATTTGGGAAGTCCTTTCGTTTTCCATTATCACTTTATAAAGAGATTGGAATAGAGAGTGCCTAGAGGATACCACAGTGAAATGTGCAATAATACTCTCCACGTTCTGAAAATCCTGTGTTGGGAATCATTTTAAACTTCCATAGTTGTGCATCATTATAATGCACCCTGCCCTGAATAATGCATGCCTCCAACTTTAATTACTTGTTTAATTATCTTTAGTTTGTTTCAAAGCCTCAAGCAACTGCTGTTGCTTAGATGATTAGAAAATTGCTTCCAGTTGCAGAAATCTCTTTCCTGTTGTTTCTCCTGGCAGTGATCGCAGACCGGCCTCCCCCTGTCATTCGACAGGGTCCTGTGAATCAGACCGTAGCTGTAGATGGTACTTTAGTACTGAACTGTGTGGCCACAGGCACTTTAATGCCCACTATCCTCTGGAAAAAGGATGGAATCCTCGTTTCCACCCAGGACTCTCGCATCAAGCAGTTGGAGACGGGAGCGTTGCAGATCCGATATGCCAAGGTAGCTTGAAATGGCCAGTGTTGTTTTTTTCACTTTGGTTTTTTTCACCTCCAGGCACTTTAGATGTAGTAAATCCTACATTTAGAATTAATGAAATGTTGCATAAATGTATGAAAATATCTGATACTTTGTGTTTTCAGATAGTTCATTCTTTTTGCTTAACACCTGCCTAGGGCACGTTATTTCAGATTTCATAAGGAAAAATGCTTTTTAAAAGGTATTAATTAAGGGAATTATTTGGTACTTGAAACATGAAAGGGAAAGCAAAACTTGTATTTCAGTAAGACAAATCATTAAATTATTTGGGCTTTAGCACTAACGGATTAAAATTATCTAGTTAATTCAAATGTTTATAAAGAAAACCTTTGTTCAGCATACAGCAGTAATAGAACCATGTACACAGCTTTTTCAAAAGAGTTTTTAGTGCTTAAACATATTCACTCCTCGGTGTACTGTAGTTTAAAATGGTTAACCACTTGTCAAATACTCCTCAGGGAGTTCTAGTACCTGGTCAGTACTGCTGCTGGTCATGTCTTGCACACTGTAAAATGTTTTAAAAATGTTCAATTTTGTCATACTGCTTATTCTCTGCCATCTTTTCTGTGTTTTGAAATGTAGTGATTTTTTGAAATCAGGCTGAATACATCACTTTACCATATTCCCTAGAGTTGCCCTGTTGCCATTTACAAGTTAAACTGGCTTAGAACTTGAACCTCTGATTTTTGATCACTTCTGTCCAGCTCATCTGGTGAGGCTGGGATCTTAGGAGGATAGCATTTCTTTGGGGGGGGAAGAAAAGAAACTCTTATGAAATGTGATTAAGTCACATATGGACAAATAATCCAACATTCAGGACTGAATGAGAATAGCATATGGAGATTCCTTTTTGGGTCTGCTGTAGATTGAAATTTATACTAACACAGGGAACCTCATGTGTACCCTGTGGAATATTTAAGCTTTGATTTAAGGATGACATGTTCTCCAGTGCTCAGTCCTGATAAATCCCCCGGCATTACTTATGTAGAGGGTTGACAGTTGCATGGGGTCTTGTCATCTGAGTTCCTTCTCAATTTATTTGTTAAGACCTCTGCAGAGTAAGGAATAAATGCTACAAAATTTGCTTTCACTTTGTTCATTACAGAATAGTCAACACTAAATTAGAATGTGCAGCTTTTCCAATTCTATTGTGACTGCTCAGAAATAAAATACCCATTTTCCTTCTACAGCACACAAAATCATAACTTCTAATGGAAGAAGTTTGTAGTTCGAAGTTTTTGCAGCCTCTAATACATTCATCCATATTCATGGGGGTACATAGAGAGCTGTAATTACTTTTCTAGCCCACTGAGTGCCTGATTGTTTCAAATATTTATTCTGCTCTTTCCCCATTCAGCTGGGTGACACCGGTCGGTACACCTGCATCGCTTCAACCCCGAGTGGCGAAGCTACATGGAGTGCATACATTGAGGTCCAAGGTAAATCAATTAGGGTTCCTCTGCAAGGAGAGAATGCATAAAGGAAAATCAGCAATTGAAATGCAGAAGTTATCTGACTCTGTCATAAATTGCCAGTGCAGATGTGAACAGCACTTAGCTTACAGCTGCGTCCTGTCCATATTCAGCATTTCTCTCTCTCCTTTGTCAGAGTTTGGAGTCCCAGTGCAGCCACCAAGACCCACTGACCCAAACTTGATTCCTAGTGCTCCGTCAAAACCCGAGGTTACAGATGTCAGCAGAAATACAGTGACATTGTCATGGCAACCTAATTTGAATTCAGGTGCAACACCAACCTCTTACATAATTGAGGCCTTCAGGTATACGAGTCTCGTGATCTTGCTGTACGTACGTTTGTTTTTAATATGTTATTAAAGAAGCACGTGCTAACCTGCTGGTGTGTGTGTTTTATCCTCAGCCATGCATCTGGGAGCAGCTGGCAAACTGTAGCTGAAAATGTGAAAATGGAGAGTTTTGCAGTTAAAGGGCTAAAACCTAATGCAATTTACCTGTTCCTTGTGAGAGCAGCTAATGCATATGGACTAAGCGACCCAAGCCAAATATCTGATCCAGTGAAAACTCAAGGTAAGCTTTTGATACTGAACATTTTGGGTGTCCACAGCAGCTGTCACAAGTGGACTAAGTGATACCAGATGCAGGAATTCTGGTAGCTTTTGACCGTCTGCCTGTCCTGGCTATAATGTATACTACGGTAAAATACTGTGTTTAAAATTGCATTTCTCTATAACATAGACTCTGACAGCATGTTGTGTTGCCTAAGGGAACCCTAGTATCTCTTATCCAAAGATAGTTACATCTTGCAGAATAGCAGCTCCTGTTAGTAACAAAAGTAATCTCTGTTTTTCTGAGTTACCACACAAATCCTCAAATTCCATGAAAACGTTATTACTATGTTCAGTGAATCAAATGAAGCTTAGGACTGAGACAGAGAGAGAAAAATTATGTAATCTAAGTTGATTTCTGCTGCATTAGGAAAGAGAAAAGTTTAAAATTTGAAGGAATTTGGCATCATGAGCCAGTAAAGAAGAGGTTTTGGCAGTATGTTAAAAGTATTTCAATAATACAACTGTTGGAAGTAAAATAGTAGGGAAGAGAGACAATGCTTACAGATAGCCCAGTGAAAGAAAAGGCTGGATAGAAGTGGATGAAGGAGTCATCCACAAACTTCAGCTGTGACTGAAGTCCAGCTATGGACTGAATCCAGCTCTAATGTAAAATTAAAAATAACTGTGTTCACTGTAGCAAATAAATGACACTTTGGATGATGTACAGGGAATCATACATTGCAACTTTGAAGCCTGCATTTTCCCAGTAGAAATACTTAGATTCTTGAGAAGGGAAAACTAGAAATACTCTTTTTCAAAGGAAAAGTGATACAGATCATAAGTTTTTTGTTTGTTTGCTTTTCTGCTCTTCCTACTCACTGCAGAAACTGACCCATTGGCTTATTAAGAGTGTCTGTGTTATATATTTGTTTCTTTGTTTGCACAAGTAAGTACATGTTTGTTTTTGAAAGGAAGTTCTGTAGAGGAAACAAAGCGTTTTCTTTTGGTGACTTCTCATTTTTTCTGTAATTGGTCTGAAAGCAAGTCTTGCTGATCTCCCCTGGGGAGTGACCAGTTTCACATTGCTGTCTTTTGGTATTATGCGTTTCTCCTGATGGATGACAATTTCAGTGGATATATGCAGACAGCAGAGGGGTTGCACGGGTTCCTAAGTCTGTTACTAAGGAAAGATTTAGTAACCTTTTACTGATTCCTGATTCCTGGAAATAGAGCAACACATGTTATTATGTGGGCAGGCTGCAGTGTTCTACGGGAGTCTGTTCTTCATGGAGTGTAGTGCAGTGTCATTCCTGAAGAGAAGGTATTGTGTTTGTCCCAAATCAACTGATCACTGACCTGATTCTGAGAAACAGCAAATGTTCTGTTCACTCAACTGCATGGTTTATAGTAACGGGGAAAAGCTTTGCTGTTCTCTGGGCACCTAGTAGAACTGAAAACCGGAGAGCCACGCAGAACCTCAGTGAAAATAACAACCAATACATGAAATCTTCTTCAACAGTAAGAAATACAGTCAAGTGTCAAGTTCTTCAAAGAGGTTCTGCTCTTCTTCCAATATCATTTCAGTTTTGTTTAAGTTGTGGTCTAGCTAAAAAAGTTCAAAACTTTCCCAGTTCACTTTTGTCTAGAGGGTGGTATTGTCTTGCTATAATGAATGTCCAGTCCAGGAACCTAACTTACCTTCATCTTTGCACTTTACCAACATTACCAACCACATGCTTGGGTGTTATCACTGACAGTCCCTGCCTTGGAAGCTTGGAGCTGAAACAAGGAAACACACACATCATTGTATAGCACAGATGTGCAAATGGCTGAGCCTTTGAATAGATTGATTCATATTGCTGATGACTCATCTTTTATGACTAGCGAAGATAGAACTAATTATTCCACTGACTTTCCTCTTACATTCTAAGCAGGGTGATGTTTAGGCAACACTCCAAACAGAAGCTTCTATCTTTAATGCTTTCAAACTTTGGGAGGAGGGAGATACTCTGATAAATGGACTGTTTGGCAGAACATACTACATGTGGAAATAGCAGTGACTCATTGGAGAGTTTTTTTGTTTTGTCGTTTCGTTGTTATCAGTGTTGCTTGCTAAGAATCCAGATTTGTCACTCACAGACTGCACGCAAACCTCAGTTTGCTTCTTAAACTTTGAAGAAATACCAGCTTCTTGTAAAGGAAGAAGAGGTTTCCTATGTTGAGGAAACCGTATGATAAAAGTCGAGAGTGACATAGGCTTTGTGTGAATGGGAACTATATTTCTGGAAGGAAAGCAGGCCTCATGGCTTGTCCTGATGCAACCTTACAATGGTTTTACTAATTATTAGTCAGGATTGAAAGCTGGTAAATGGAGAATATGACCACCATGCAAAAAGCATGTTTTACAACAGTTGCACTCACCGATGTAGAAGACACTTAGTAAATGCATCATCTCATCTTTCAAGATAGTCTGCACACCTGCAGTGACTTATTACAGTAGTTGTACATATATATATATATATATATATACAGAAATTCTGTATACTTTAGCACTTCTTGAAAGCAGACAGCTATGGAAATTCCCAGGAAATTCCAATCTTCAGAGAACAGAACCCTTGAAGATTTCCTGATGTTGCTTTCTCACTAGAGGAGGTCAGGCAGAGAAGTAGTAGGGCTGGAGCAAAGTTTATGTAATGCATTACTCTATATCTGGAATTAGATTAATTAAAAAAAAAAAAAGTAAGAATTTCAAGTACTTTTCATGAATTTCTCAGCCTGTGATTTTTAATGATACTCAGCATGGTATTTCTTTAAAATTAAGTGATCAAGGAGAGAGGTATGAAATCACTACAGAAACTCTGTCACTCTGCTGTCCATAGTATATGTCTATTTTAGATACACTGTTAGTTCTGCCCTATAAATTTTATGCATCTGACAGTCATCAATTTCAGTTAAATATGCTTTTTAAGGGCTCAGCATACAAAAAAATATGTTTCCATTGTACCATTGAGTATTTTGAGAGGAATTTGTCCCTTCGTTGATACGAATAACTCTTCTAGCTATAAGATGGACCAAGTATCAAACGATGCAGACAGGACTCACCCAGGCTCTGCCTCCTGTTTACAGAAGCCACTTACCATCAGAGAAGCTGCAACCATGTGACTAATTTTTCTTTTTCTTTGGTTGTTACATGATTTTGTAGTTAAAAACACTAAGTTTGCCAGGAATTTATCTGAAGATACAGCTTTTGGTTCTGCCATTCTTTACAGGTTTCCTGATCTCTTGGAATTTGCAGAACATTTTTTCTTCCCAACAGGAAAGAATAAAGAAATGCTGCTTTAGACATTTACCAAAGCCATCCTTTAGTGTGGCTTTTTCTGCAGCATTTCCCTCGTGTTTCTCTCTGAGGAAGTGCAGTGTGTTGATTTGGTACCACCTCAGCACTGGTGATTTGCTCAGGAAAACATTTGACGTAGTTTTTTCTTACATAATTGGGAAGTACTTAGGGTAAACTTTGTAAGTGATAGCATCATATACTTTCTGATACATTCATTTGTATTTATGTGTACTTATTTTAACAATCATATGTACTTGTGAGAATGGAATCTTAAATTATTACAGATGTTCCACCAACAAGCCAAGGTGTGGATCACAAGCAGGTCCAGAGAGAGCTGGGTGACGTGGTATTACATCTGCACAACCCTACTATCCTTTCTTCCTCCTCAATTGAAGTTCATTGGACTGTGAGTATAAATCTGTGTTATGGTGGTGGTTACAGGTACTGCTGAATTGTCCTGCTTTGACTGCAGTGGAGTCACACTTCAGGAAGCTGTGTGGTTTGTATGCTTGCAGATCCTTTTTCTCTGGAATGAAGAGACTTGGGCTTTGCTTTCCCACTTCATTAAATTTTGTCCCATTTTCCTCGTCTATGTCCCCATAGAGAGTGCTGTTTACAACATGGTGAGAGTTTCAGAGTCCTCCTCTGGAAGCTAAAGGACTGATCAAAGGCCTCCTAAGTCATGTCATTTGAAGCCTTTGCACTGCTTTCAGGAGGGAGTGTATCAGTCCCCTAATGAGATAGCACGGGCACTTCCCTGTCTGTCAGTCACCAGTGCAGAGAAATACTGCATAATTCTGTTTGAAAGTGTTACCTCCATCCTACAGACATACTGACAAACACACCCAAATCCATATAGCCTCATCTGAACCTATGCTTCCCTGCTGTCCTGGGAGTACATATGGTACAGGGAGAGGAGATGAAAAGGGCAGTGTCACATTGGCGTGTGGTGGGAGGCAGCAGGAAGTTGGCCACGTGGAGGATATCACAGAGGAAATGAGGGAGTGGGGAAACAATACTCTAGGAGTCCTGAAGCAAGGAGGATGGGAATATACATAAAAAAAGATTCAGGTAGACTTGCAAGGCTGAGGTGTCAGTGTGAGAAAGGATTAAAAATGGCTCACTGTGAGAGACTTTTGGCAATCCTGAGCTAGAAATAAAGACAGAGGGTAATGTGGGAAACTGCAAAGAGTGAACAATGAGGTAAGAAAATGTAATTCAAAGAAGAGCAGTTTTAAAATGAAATGCGGAATGAAGAAAAAATTGGGGATGTAATTATACCAGGTACAGGGGTAAAAACATAGGGAGTGAACTTTGAGGTCTTTTTAGGACTTCCACCAGAACATGTCAATACATTGATGGGGATAGTGTGGGTGAGCACAGGCTGCAGCCCCTGCCATGTCATGGCAGGATTTTTTGAACAGGAACAAAGGGATTTTTGACTTTGTAGAGGAACTGTAGCCCAAAGGAGTCCTGGTCCATGGCCAGGGCTTCTCAGTGCTGCAAGAATACCAATAATATGTGCTGCACCATAATACAGTAATACTGTTGTACAGTAATTACACTCTCACCTGCAACATGGCCACCTGCAGCAGGCAATCTCCTGTTTTAGCTAATAACATTAAAACATCTTCAAGGTTCCTAGCACGATTTTGCTTAACCTTTCCTTGTAGAACAACCTTTTCCAGAAAGGCTTTTTTTTGTCAGTCTCTGGGGTAGCCTGTGGCTTCTCTACAATTTCAAAAATAAGCATTACCTCACTTTCAGCTAACACACAGATTCTTTATGTGATTATTAAAAATGAAATATGTTGCTTTTCGGAGTAAAATTGCAAGCACACAGTTTTTTAATATCACTGTATGAGATTTTTTGAAAACAGGGAAAGTCTGATGCACTTTAAAATTTTTTATTGTGGTTGTAATTGGACTTTCTTATCCACTAGAAATTGAAATTGGTAGTTAAAAGATAGTGTATGCTTCATGACAGAGCACATGTATATGATAGCTTTCTGTTTCAGTTATAGCCAAACATATTGAATGCACCCTTATTTACATTAAGATCTTTTTCTCCATACAGTTGATATAAAATTACTTTGGTCTAAAAAGCGCTCAGGAGCACTAAGCATCAGCTTGATCTATGTTTCCAAATCTCATCCATGTTGCCATACTGAGTTTTATGAGCCTCCCCAGAGCCCTCTTGGAACAGCCCTTTCCTTCCATCAGAACATCCTCCTGATGAGGGGGTGGACATGGGGGAAGCGCTTGGACAGATCTGACAGAGCCCAGCCACAGCCATGGAGAAGGTGCCAGCTGGCTGTCCTTCCAATTCACTTTCTCCAAAGTGAAGCAGGCAGGAAGCAGTGCTCATTGCTTGGGTTTTGGGAAGCTTCTACATCTCAGGACAGGTGGCAGGCTCTCTCTTTGATCTCTGTATTCATCACCCTGAACTGTGGCACTGTAGATCCCTCTTTCCCTGTGTGCCCCCTGCGCTGCTGTGCAAATTCAGGTGGGCAGAAGTCTGGCCTGTGCCGAGCTATGTCACCCTGTGGATGCAAAGACTGTTCATTTCATGGAGCCGAGACATACTATACAACTCCGTTATCCGCCTTTAATGCCTTCCTAAATCCAGGGAAACCAGCACAGTTCTACCAGCATCAAGCAGATTAATGCACTTGCGAGTCAGGCCTGTAATTTGCTGTAATGCAAGAAGCCTTTGTCTGCTGTGGCAGTGATGTTTACTTTGAGTAACACGAGCGGGGTGGCCCAGGGACCGGGCACAGTGTCACGGGCATCGTCCCTGGTTCCTGTCTGTTTATGGACGTGTTCTGTGTTCTGCTGTCTTGCCAGGTGGACCAGCAATCCCAGTACATTCAAGGATATAAAATTCTGTACCGGCCTACACCAGCATCCTACGGAGAGTCAGAGTGGTTAATCTTTGAAGTGAGGACTCCAACCAAAAACAGCGTTATCATTCCCGAGCTGAAGAAAGGCGTGAACTACGAAATCAAGGCCCGCCCTTTTTTTAATGAGTTTCAGGGAGCAGACAGTGAAGTGAAATTTGCAAAGACCCTGGAAGAAGGCAAGTAGGAGCCAGACTGTCTTCATCTTTCCTTTTTGAAGTAGCAGTCTGGCCAGCTTTCCTCTGATATGTTCATTATTTGATTTTGTTTGAAGTGCGTGCCGTTTGAGAGCAGCAATCTGTGGCAGAGGAGGCTGTGTCCGACTGATCATTATGTGAATTGTTTGGTGACACAGAAGTAAATATTCAGAGCCAGGCAGGAGAGATAGAGAGAGAGGGATGTGCAAAAATCCCCTCCAACACACAATGGGAAATGCGCTTCTTTATCTTCCCTGCAGTGTGCACTCCTCCCTGCTGAGTTCATGGGCTGGTCACAAGTGACTTCTGTCAGATTCAAGCACTTGCTAATCACTATCTTGAGTAGATAGCAGACACCACAGAAATCATCAAAGTGCTGCAGCTGAGGGAATGGAAACCATGCTTTTTAGAAGGCTTTTATATCTGGATCAATCAGTGAGACAAAGTGAAAAGATGAATGAAGGCAACAGATATAGTGGACTAAATTATGCATTTCCATCTCATACATGTGTTAAAAAGAGAAGGTTCATAAAACTCTTCCTTTTGTTGCTGCACAGGCATAATGAGTATGCAAGGTGGCCAGTGCCTTCAGTGCCTCTGCTAGGGTGTACAACCTTTCCCCTTCTGTCCTCCTTCCCCATTATAAATGCCCTGTAGCTCCAGTTTATTGCTGCAAGTGGTTCAAGAGGTGTGCATAGCTGCATTCATCCCAAGCATCAACTAAGCATCCGGTTTTTAGGAGGACTATTTCAAATGCAAAGCATAAATTATTGTTATAAATGTGTTAATATTTGTGTAAACACATGCTGTCCTGATTTTAATAAGTTTCATATTACTCGTTATTATTGACACACTAGAGGAAAATGAAGTTTAGATTGGGGTCAGTTTAGAGTCTTTATTTTTTAAAACTGTTGGTGCTGGGTGAGATGATTTGAGACCATTGATGAATTCAATGCTCAAGACTGTGACATTCAGGTAAAGGGTATCTGAGCTTGAAGAGTCTAGTGATGAGTGTGACTTTTCCTGTCCTACACAGCAAGACTACTGCAGAACCCAGGAACCTGGTTGCATTTTGACACACTTTCCTTCCATATCGTTTTACCCTGTAGTCAGAGCTGCCCTCATTGAAGGATGGGGCACAGAAGATTGCATTTGTATAGCCCAGAAACCATCTTCCTCTTTAAAAACCCTGCTTCTGAGTGTGACAAACATAACTGTTCAATCCTTCTTTCCAAACAAACAGCTCCTAGTGCTCCACCTCAGAGTGTTTCAGTAACTAAGAACGATGGGAACGGGACAGCAATCGTGGTCACCTGGCAGCCACCCCCTGAGGACAACCAGAACGGGATGGTTCAGGAATATAAGGTACTGCTGGCATGCCTTGGTCTCCTGGCAGAGGGAACACGGCCAGGTAGTGAGGGATGGGCTGTTCGTGGGTGCTTGGCTCCATCTTCTGGTTACTCAGAGAAAACGGGATAGAAAATCACTGCTGTGACTCAAACTCCATATTTAGTAGTTCTGCCTAGATGGTGGAAAGGCAATTAAAACAGCCTCCATAAGTCAAAGCAAGGGGTCAACACTCTTAATGAAAACAGATACATCCTTTGCCTTCATTAAAACTTGAGAAATGCACACTCAAGTAGAGGGGGAACCATACCTGTATGAGAACCATTTTGTGACTCTAAGGCATTGGCCAAGGTAGTAAATATAAACAGGCTTAATGAGTTGAAAAGCTTGGGGATAATAATTAACAGTGTTAAGATCTGAGTAAATTATGCGTAACTGGGTAGTTGAAACAAACGGAAAACTTTCAAGAGAAGAATGTGCTTGTATAATAATAAATCTATTTAGTGTACGGAAATTTTTCTTTTCTTCCAAACACAGTTCTCATTATGCTATTTAACTTTTAACTATTTGAAAGTACATCATAAATATTTATTATTTGATGTTCATTTACAAACAGTTCAAATTTTTTTGTGATAATTTACATAGCAAAGTAAATTAAGCTTATTTTTCCTAAGCAAGCTACGGATGTTTTGAATGTCTAGTTGTGGATATCAAGTAAGCTTTGTAGCCATGGAGAGGCAGGAGCTTTGGTTTCAGTCTTCTGCAAATGCGTATGATTGAGAAAATCTTTCAAATGAGAATGTCTTGGCTACTTCTCAGGTTTAAACACAGTGCTATAAACATATATTCCTAGCCATCAAAACTCATTCTGATGTTTCTTTTCCCTGAGTAGAAATGGAAAAGAGAAGAGATTGCTAAGCTTCATGGTCAATTTAGAATAATAAAACCCTTTTAAGAACCCGGTCAACTGGTAAAAAAAATCCGTTTATGGCTTAGTTTCAGATATATAATGTAATTGGAAAAAAAATACTTGTGAAGTTATTTCATTTAAAGACAGACCTTGAGCTGGAGAGATGGAATTATTTCCAACAAGAAACTACATGAGAGGAATGTTAAGGTTGCAAGGACACCACAATAAAAGTCAGGAAATTCCCATTTCCGAGTAGATATAATACCTACCCCACCTGCTAGCATTCTGAGGGAATAGGCTATCAGATGGAGGAGCAAGCATCCTGCAGTGCTTGTGTGGCAGTAGATGGCACACTGGCACGTTTCACATCTACGTTTCTTGTGTTGATGCTATTATTTTCCTTTGTGCTTTTCACCACAGACAGAAAACAGACGCAATGAATATATATGTCATTGCTCTTTAAGTTGCTACGTGTAACTACTGGTTTTGTCTAAAAACTAAATGAATGCAGAACTAGTTATTTAAGATTAAAAACTAATAACAAGGAAAAAAACGAAGTCACGTGAAATTTTCTCTTTTTTGTTTCCTTTTTTGTTTTTCTATCTTTAATGTTTTCTCCCAGAAAAAAAAAAAAAAAGATATGCATATGTGTGGGAATTCATTGTTTTCTCAGCAACTCAAATCAAAGGCAAGAGTATACCTACTTTAATTAAAGGATAAACTAAATAGGAAGAAGTAAACCATCTTAATTGAAGAAGTGTCAGTATCACAAACAAAAAACCAGAAATTCAAATTCACAGCAGAAATCATTTTTTCCTTTCTTACCATGAAGTTAGAAATTCTCTTGTTATACTAATTCTTTCTTCACTTATGCATCTGTTATAATGTGAATTCACCCTTGTTTTGTAGCACTCTAAAAGTTCATTTTCACTTGCCTATTGAGCTATACAATCAATACAGTATTGTACTGAACAACCTGATGTTTAACATAACATTGTTGTTTCTTTTATCATGCATTTCTTCATGTACTTGAGTGCCTAAGAACAGAACTTTTTTTCCTGAATTAGTAGTTCGTAGTCACAAGCACATAATAAATTGTTTCCATTGTTTGCATATGCACCATTTTACAGGGTGGCAGTAACAATTTCTGTGAAAATTACTGCAGTCAAAATGTAGATTTAAATGTTTTCTTTGACACTTAATTGAGTTCCTATTTACATAAGAGCATTTTCATGACCATCCTCTAGGATCTAAGAACAGTATTAATTTTACTAGAAGTACTGACTGAAAAAGTCTCTATATAGTATCAGAATACAAACAGGAGATTCTCTTTGTGTGCTCTGACCTGCTCTGCAGCAGCACTTATGTATATCCTGTGTTGGGATTCGATTTCAAAGGGACTTAAAGTACATTTCACATCCTCACAGTGTCCCACTAGCCTTGTTTCAATCCTTGGCATTCAGAGAAGGAAAAAGGGTCTTACAGCATCCTGAAGGTGAGATAAAATTTCCAGTGTCCAGGAAGAAAGGGCCGTGGCAATTGTTCTACATGTGAAACTGTAGCTCACTCACCTGGCAATCTGCACAGCAGCAGAATTGCACAAGGGATTTAAAGCAGCTATCTGGGTACTAAATCTTTTAGGAGCTCCATATGTCAAAAGCAAAATCTTCCCTCCTATGTACAATCAACCCAGGCTCAGATGTACTGCTGTTCTCAGCCAGGTTTGCTTCTTTACAGATAAAGTACTGAATTTAACTAATTTAACTTTCTGGATAGATGTTCTTTGTAGAGCAATACATTTGTGGAAAGGGGACAGAACCGAAATCAACACAGCTTCATCTTTTTTTTTAACAGATCTAGATTGGCTGCTACTTCACCTTGAGTTGTTCAACCATAATCTTAAAAAGCATTTACCACATCAGTGGTTCAGGCCTACAAGGATAAAAATATCTCATCATCTTGTTTCTCCCATATCATTTAATGTCACTGATATAATTTGCAAAGTGATGATTTGAAGTTGCTAGACCTGTATCCTGGTCTAGATCTCAAAAAATGAGATCTGATGTCATGCTGTTGTCTCTCAATTAGAAGACAGAAAATCACTCAGTCTTTGCCTCTTACTGCCATCTTTAAAAAAAAAAACAAAAAAAAGAGACCATTTGGATCCCAGCATGGCATCAGTTCTCTTGTGATGTCATGTGATGAAAGACTTGCTCATGCACTTGAGTGATGAAAGCCTTGCTTGACAAATAATTCCTGAGCAAGAGAATGGCAAATTCATTTAACCGAATGCTCTTACTTAGCTGTTTATGTGAACAGTTCTTGGCTACAGGGCTTCCCTTCCTTGTTCTGTGCTTTTAGTTTTATTAACACCAGTTGAACTGTGAATGATTTATGACAAACACATCAAATAATTGTAGTAGTTGGATCTGCTCTTTGGAACAAAAAGTAGCTTTTCATTATTCGTAAAGTGCCTAGGACAGCAATCCATGACTGCAGATGTAGTGACAAAGTGTAAATTCCTTTATCCAGAAGAAGAGAATGTGTCATCTTTCCTTCTGCTTATCCTTCAGTGCTGAATGTTGAACATTTGTACATACCATGCACTTACTTCCCCTCAGGTTTGGTGTCTTGGCAATGAAAGTCGATACCATATAAACAAGACAGTGGATGGCACCACCTTTTCCGTAGTCATCCCCTCCCTAGTTCCTGGTATTCGATACAGCGTGGAAGTGGCAGCGAGTACTGGGGCAGGACCTGGAGTGAAAAGCGATCCCCAGTTTATCCAGTTAGGTAAGCTTGCTGGTAATCCTGCCTCTTGGTTTCCATGATTTCTGTTTGTTTACTTTTGTCTTTTATGGCACCGGAAATACTTTCAAGACAAGTGAAATAGATAGCGTTACTTGATCCTTGGAATAGCAGGATTTGGCATTTCTGGTTTAAAACTTCCCTTAAAACTGCATTGTAAAGATGGGGTTATAACAACACATTTTTTTTAGTCTCCCAGTTCAGGAGTTTGGTTGTTGACTTTTCAAAGTGAATTTTCAGCCTTAAGACTGGTGTAATAAAACATGTAGGGGAGCATGAATCACTAAGTCTTGAATCACTTTAGTTTAGGGATGTAATTTGTCTTGATCAGATTTTATCTTTATTTAAAAAAAGAACAACCAAGCATGCTAAAATTAGGCACAATAAATATCAACTCTGTGTGAGAGCTAGTAAATAACCTGAGTACAGGAAAAGGAGGTATCCAGATGATTTACAATAATCTTGACCTTCTAATTTCATTAACACCAAACATCTCTGTCAGAAATGCACATCAGGGGCGTTGCTCCTGGAGCTTTTTGGGAGAAATGCATCTTTGCTGTTGGTTACCTGAAGATTACTTAAAGTAGCTTTAAGTGTAGTCATATGCTGCTTTGCTAGTATGCCTGTAGCAAAATATCTTATCCTTAGAGTATATAGTTGTGAAAGCAAACTCAGCACGTTGCTTTGGGCTTTATGTCCCGTCTGTCTCTGTATCATTAGTAGGTCTTCCTTCTTATTTCACTTGTTGTATTTAAAAATCTATAATTAACAGCATGTGAAAACAAGACAGAGCAACTAATATGGAATATTATATGTACATTTCCTTGGCTATTAAAGTGAAGTCCCTCTTTAACTTAGTTAAATTATGCAGGCATATGACTCCCAATTACACTGATAGAGATTTTACAACAAAATTACACACTGCTTCTATGATATTCCATTAATGTGGAATTAGTACAGGAAAACCCCATGGTTATTTGTTGGATTGCTCTTTCCTACGGTCAGCTACCATTCACAGCTTCCTACAGTCAGCTTTCCAGTCAGCTTTCTGGGCTTAAGTTCTGAAAATTCTACGTTAGTGAGGCTTATGAGGATAACCTCAAATGTTCAAAGCCGAAGATTTCATAACCGCTTTTTTCCCCCCCCATTTCTCTGATGATAAGCAAATACTAAATGAAGGTGAATTTTGTAATGGAACTTAATCACTTCGAGGTTTTGGTATGTGGAAAAAAGAAACAAGTGAGACTGTCAGGGTAAGATTTTTGCCTGCTCCTGGATTCCTGGCTTTTATTGGCACTATGTTAGAAAACAAGAAGCAATCACACACCTCAAAAGGTGTTTAGATGTGCAAGTCTAGTAGAATACACGTATTTCCTTGTGGTTGGAGTTCGCTTTCATAGTGTTCACTGCTGGCTTCTAATTGACATGGCCAGTTCTAGATATGCTGTAGTAGATCCCATAATTTGCTTGTTTCATGGCAAAGATCTGAAGACAGGAGTCTTGTGGACATCCATGCCACAGGAAGCATCACAAATAAATACCTAGACAGTACTGCAGAAGGCTGCTGAAAATTTGTACTTAAATTTAAGGAGTAATATTCCTTGGTAGCAGAGATCAACCTAAAATCATCCAGGTAGAAGAATGGCTGCAGTTTATCCAACTCTACCCTGTGATACAAGTTCCTCCAAGGAACAAGCCCCCTCAAGGAATTGCATTCTTAGTTTTTAGAAGTGCTCCCAGCGTGGGGGTGGAACATTAGAGTTTTCTGGTAGCTTTCTGAAGAAAGGAAATTAATTTGTTGATGTCATCAATTGGCACTTCTCACCAGCGATAAATTACATGGTTCCAGAGAGAGGGAAGGGAGGCCAAGGAGGGGGAGGGAAGAGGACTAGGGATGCTGCTTTTAGAAGGTTTGAAGCTGCCCTCACTCCCTGTACCTACATGCTCTAGGAACTACATGCTTGCCACCAACAGCTTTAGGTTTCTGCATTTCTGGCACTGACCCCAACTATTTCTTTAGGAAGTCTTTTCCTGATATCTGAATTAGTACAACCTTTCCTTTTTTAAAGAAAAAAAGTAAAATAAGAATTCCTTGTGTGAAAACAGAATATACTATGTGATTTAGAGGTTCACTTTTTTTAAGGAACTTTCCATTAAAATCTGACATCTCTCTCCGCATAATGTGTTTTTCTTACAAAAATGTGAGACTAGGTTGTGGCTGGCTCTGGAGCATCCAAATAAGGGGTTTTTTTCCTCAGTGTAGTCTACTGTCTTGTACAGTGACCTCAGTTTGAGCCTGTGTGCTGTGTGGGGTGCTCCCCACAGATGAGACATGCTTGGGCAGAGTCTCAACCAGATGTGTGACAGGAGGAAACTTCACCTTTTGGAGGCCACCTTCCAGAATGAGAGCAAGAGGGGAGGACAGGAGACATTGGATTCCCTGGGAGCTGAGGCGTGCAATCACAGTCCCATGCATCAACTGAGCTGTGATAAATGACCTTGTGCACACACTTAACCTGTTACAAAGACAGGTACAAATTGTAAGCTCGAAGCTTTTTCATTTTCCACGTCTCAGCTGACATGAAGCAGCTCACTGAGCTGTGGTACCCCAGACTTCCCGTGCCACCAGGGACAAGACAACAATATGACTTGCTTGTTATTCATAAAATCACCTTCCAGTGTTTAAAATCATAAGATCAACTGAAAAATCATATGTCTTCTTAAAGCACACCCCCCCATGAGGCTTATGAATTTTCCTCTAGGCTTTTGAATGACCTTTTAAAGCTTTCTGTGGAATTCCAAGGACCGGAAAACAATTTGTTTATTTTAAAAGGAAATGTACTATTTTACATAAGGAAAGACTGCAAGAGCTTTGTTGTTAGGGAAAAAAAATTATTTTTTGAGACCTAGACATAACTTGCTGTATTCTGCTTATAATACTGTGCTGTGGAGAAACAAAATCGTAGAATTTCAATTGACCTTTTTTGTCTTGTCACAACACGTAACTTGAAGGCATCATTTACAAAAATGCTTTATATAAAAAGATGAGAATTGGCACAACATTTTTTTGCTGATCTCTAGCCTAACTTTTGCAAAGTAATAGGTTACCACCTATGGGAGCTTGGCAGTATTACCTATGCTTGTTGACAAATAAGTAGTGACATTGGAACATATTGCAGCACACTTTGTTTCCAGTACCAGCTCTGAGAAGCCCTACAACTGTGGTTAATGTTACTCTCAAACACACAGTTTGTATGAATATATGGTATGCAGCTATTTGTTATTAGATGTCTGCACAATTACTGCACAATTAAAGGTTGAGCGTAATATTCAACCATTGGATGTCTCAAGTGTACAAAACACAAGAAAGTCTCATTGAATCTTTATTATTCTAATTGCTTTATTTAGGAGATGTGATTTGGGAACTAGCTAGCATGTCTTCAGGGCATTCTGTCAACCCCTTTTTTTGTTGATATTTTTGTTTGTGGCCTGAAAACGACTTGAAGAAAATAATCTTTTTTTTTTTCCATCTCAGCAAACCAGTTTGGTGCTGTCTCCTCCAACTGTATGTTATAAGATAGAAGTGCAATAATGATATTTTACCAGTTTTGGAAGCATACATAACTAGAAAGGAGACAAAATAGCATATTCTTATGTTGGTAATATTTTACCAAATAATTTTCATATTGCATCACGGACATATATTTGAGAAGACACTTGGACAATATGTTACAGGTTCCAGGTGTTTTGCAAGTTTTTAATTGTGAGAATTAACAGTGTTAACAGCACTTAGATATTTCTCCTTACTGTTTGTACATTTTGAGTACTGAATGAGACATGCATGTGGAAAAGTACCATTCCATAGGTTGTACATGTGCAAGGCCAAGTTAAGGTTCTTTGCACACCTGTGAACCTGGAATTTCCAGTCTTTTTTGAATCTTTGGCATTCCAATCTTAATTGTATACTAATCTCTAATTTATGCTTTAGCAACTTAGTGATAGTTTTTATGTTATTATTATTTATATGAATATTTAACATCAGGGAATTAGAGGTTCTTCTCTGTGTAAATTCTAATTAGTTTTTTATTGAAGTTTGAAACTTGGAGCTTCAAGACAGTCAAATCGAGTAGCTTATGAGCAATAGCCATAGCAACATTATCTGTGATTAAAAAGAATGCTCTTATCTTGGGGTAGAAGAAGGCATGAGTCACTGTGATAATATGCTGGTTTTAGGGAGTTGTGGGATCAGCCTGCTCCAACAACTCTGAGGCATTTTCAAGTACATTAAATGCTGCGGCTGCTGCTCTGGCAATAGGATGCACTTTGCTGTAGAATGTTTATATTCACTTATTATTTTGGCACATCTCCCCAAGGAGTGCAAGCAGCAACAGGAATGTTCATTATGAACCATTTATATTTCAATCAAAGCTTCTAGAAATTTCCTGGGATGAAGAAAAAGTACGTTGGTTTTTTTTTTGTTCAGGAGCTTTTTTCATGACTGATCATTGAAGATTGAGGGCTGTTGTGGAGAGGGAAGATGTCCTTCTCAAAGAAAGGCTTCTGAGATAAAGTTCCTGGAAATTTTTGGGGATAAGGAGTTCACTAGATTTCATTCCCTTTGCTTTATATTTAGCTTACTTTCTATTTTTGAATTATAAGAGAAGTAGGACATGGGTCAAATGGGACCTCTTGAAATCCGTTCCATCTCCTTTTGTCTGATGCTGAGTGTGAATATAGACACATTTTTCTCTTCACTATGTGTGTAAATAAATACCAGCTAATGGAATAGCTCTAACAGTCCACCCATATACAATGTGCCATAAGCGTAATTTCTTAAAAGAAAGTATATTATTTTGCTTGCAATGACAAGTCAAATAATAGCATGAAATTAATGTTAATTAAAAATTAGAATAATAAACGTTCAAAGAGATTCTGCAGGATTTTATAGTCTTCAGACAGGCATTCACTGAGCAATGCAAAATGTTTCTGTATGTGAAAGTACTGTCTTTCTATATGGCTGAATGGTTGACATGTTTAAAAAGCATTCTTATTTGTTTTTTGAGTTAGTCATTATTTTTTTCTCCTGGATTTATTGTTTTAAATATATATATTTTAAGGATTAGAGAAAAATATTTATTAGTCTTCCGAATTTATTCAGGACCATAGATTCTCCATAAATCTTTTGCTCTATTGCATTTCATTGTAGAAAGTAGTGTAGCTGTTTAAAAATGCAGAAATTATGCATTTTGAAAAGAGACTGATGATGCAAGTTTTCATATCTTAATATGGCCTCAGCTGCAGAGAGACAAAAGATGAGATAGAGAGTGACAGCTTTAATTCATTGGTCACAGTATACTTTATACATTTAAGCCCATCTGGCCACTTGTGTGGAACTTCACTTGGCTGTCTCCATAAAATCTGAAGCAACCCATCTTAACCTTGCACAAATAGGCATGAAATCCATAAACCCAGCAGACACAAAGGGTGTATTAGTAAGAAAAGAATGAGTCTGCCTGGTGAACTTTGAGGCTAGGCAGTGCACTTAGGATCACAGAAGATAAAGGGACCTGAAATATGAAATAAAATTTCCAATAAGGTGGCAGTCAGAGACAGGGGTGATTTCTCAGCAAAACAGATATATGACTTTATTGTTGCAAAGACTGGAATTTGGAATTCTTCATTGGAAGAAGCTTATCAATTTAACCATTTCCCATTCAAAAAGGTGTCGTTTTCCAGAGGAGGTTTGTCATTTGTATAATTTGCTGTGATTCAGTCTCTTGTTTGTATTTCAATTTCTTATATATTGTTTCAGCTTATTTTGAAGTAACGCAAGATGTCATTGTAAAAAAAATTCTATTCACTGCTTAGTTTCTAGGGAAAAGGTCTTGGTTTTAAGTAAATAGGTTTTCATTTCTTACGTAGTTCACATTAATAGAATTAATAACAGCACCTTTCTCCTTAAAACACTTATCTCTCATTCTGAATTTCATGTCACTACCAATAGTAAAAAACAACTATCTGTTGGATTTACACAGGAGTAAAAATGGGCATTTCAAAGACTAAGCTGTGGAATGTGTAAAGCAATATCCGCTCTGAGTAGAGGTTTCAAATTCTTGCCCTCACCCTGTGCAGTAATGAAATTTCCAGTAAGCACTCACTGTAGTGGTAAAGCACACCAGGAAAGCAGTATTTTGTCTTTTAGTTGCTTCAGTTTGGTTAGAAAGTGTTAGTCACTAACTGGATTTTCTTACTGCTGTTCCTAGAAGGTTCCTGCAAAAATTCTGTACAGCAAGAGCAGAAAAGACCAAATCTTGCAGGTGTGGTCTCTATTTAAAAAAAAATTATAGTGTGTGTAAAAATACATGTTCTTTATTTTGACATGGGGTATTTAAGGATAAACTGATTTTGAAAAACACTGCCTGTTCAGTACTAATGAGGCTGCTTGGCTACTTTTGCCAATTCACTTTTTAGTTATCCTTTAGCTTTTATATCCATGTCTAAGAGGGCAGGATTGGTTATTTTATACTTTTGCTTTTTTACATCCTTTTAAATATTCAGCCTTTTTTTAATTGAGGTCAAAGTGAGAGACTGCGAGACTGCAAAGAGTACATTAAAGTGCTAATACAAGATTTAAGTAATCTGTCAGGAACTGCTAGATTAAGATGTATCAATACCAACCTCATATGAATGTAGTTTGAATTTGTTATTCTGTGATTTTCAGTGGGTGTCTGAGGAGCTGATTTCTACCTATGGACAGAGCCTACTACTCATGATTCAAGCTTGAGCTTTCCTTTACTTGCTGTGTTCTTTGCTGATTTTCTGAATAATTTTCTGAAGCTGATGTTTCTTTGCTAAAATAAAAAAAAAAAATTAAGACATAGCAGTCCAAAAGTTTGTAATTTATGAGCCTAAATTTCTATTTGTATGCCTGGTAGCCTGATTTTAGCAGATTTCATAAACAAACAAAAGTCAGTGATGTTGGAGGTACCTGTCTTGTATGGAAAACAAAGCATTTCTATCTAGACCTGTAAAAACAGATTTTAAAGAGCAATCTTAAGGATTTTACCTTGAAAAACTGGACTACAGTTATGTTAGTTATCTGACTGGCAACCCAAATGGAAAAACAGTTTTGTTACTGAACTTTTCACAGTGCCTTTTACAGCTGTTCATTCAAATTAATTGGCTATTTTGGGTGCCTCTGTTTCAGATTCTCATGGAAACCCTGTGTCTTCAGAAGATCAAGTCAGCTTAGCCCAGCAGATTTCTGACGTTGTAAAGCAGCCTGCCTTTATTGCTGGAATTGGTGCAGCCTGTTGGATTATCCTTATGGTCTTCAGCATCTGGTTGTATCGCCACAGGAAGAAGCGGAATGGACTCACCAGTACTTACGCTGGTATCAGAAAAGGTGCCGTATTATGTGTTTCAGTCTGCTGGCTGCTGAATGCCTGTTTGCTGCCTATTTACTTGGTCATCAGTCCCCTGTTCTTCTAGGACCCGAATCAGGAATTATCAGATTACTTCAATGCTTCCAGGAGGTGTGGGTGAGGAGCCAATGCAGAAAGCAGCGATATTTACATAACGTGTGAAATCTGGCTTTAAAGCATAAGTCTTTAGCAAAATACCTAGACTAGCTTTTCATAAAGATGCTCCCACAAAGGGGAAATGTAAAGATGGATTTAAGACTGGGAGCTTCCAATATGCCGTTGCTGTCTGACACAGTACCATCTGAAAAGGAGCCAGGTGGATGGTAGTTCCTTGACCCTCCTGTTCAACCCTTTACTTGCTGCTGAGAACTCTAACAGTGGTGTACATCACAGCAACGCTTTTGGTGTGGGTACTTGGATTTCCTTCTACTCTGGGGCAGTGTGGTGAAGTGGCTGTTTGCAGAGGCACAGCAGTCAAGTCTGCTTTCCAAGGCTCTTTTCATAAATGCTGTTGTGAGGCCCTTCACCGGGTCTGAATTCTGGGGCTGTCACATCCTGCATCTGCATTTGGTTAGAATGGCAGCAGTGGGGCCAGCTTGAAGCATTCTCCATTTTCGTGTTATTTCATGTTATTGACACCTTTTATATCACATTGTCAGTGGACTCGCAGTGCTTTCCAGTATACTCTCTGACAAACAAAGCTAGAATTTCTACCTGTAAGATCTTCTGGAATAAAAACTGGATTCCTCCTGATTCAGTAATCTTTTGATTAAGCCCCAAAGTTGAAGTTGAATTCAATGGGCTGCAGTTCATTACATCTCAAAGCAGTACCTCATAGTCACTCCTAGAGCAAGAGCTATAAAATTTGGAATGAATCAGAAAATGGGAGATCCTGCTTTTGAAGGAATAGCAGGAAAATATCTGATACTTAGCAATGAAAAGATAGGCCTAGGCTTAAAAGGTGGACACATCTTAATGTATGAAAGGTGTCATGAGATTCCATTCTTTAGTCCCTTCAAGAGTGAATGCTTGACAGGCAAGAAAAATAGGCAAATCTAACACGAATGTTTTTAAACAGTAACAGTGTGTTGCTATATAAAAGAAGCAGTGTTAAAAATAGTACATGAGTGAGTGGAAAGATGGAAATAATTCTGGAGTGTTGCAGAGTTGAGATATCCTCCCTGCTAATTAAGTATCAATGCTCACCGTAGACTTCAGGCACAGTGGCTGTAGTGGAGCTGTAACCACTGGAATCGGGAAGGAGTTCCACCTTTGACTCTGTTCTGCTGGGATTTCTTAGCTAGGACAGACTCCCACATTCTACTGCATTGGCCTGTGCTGTTTTGTTTTACTAATAGCATGCTGCCATACTGCCTTTCTACAGTTCTATCAAACTAACATCACTGTGCTTTCAGCAGTACCTATGATTAAGCAAAAGGCATACAATTTGTTCTTAAAAATGGTTGCTTCAGTGACATCAGCTATTGTTCAAAACAGCTTTTTTTTTTCCCCCCAATAGCTGTATAAATGTCTTTTGTGTAATTTGGTGGGGATTTAAATGAAACTGTACAGAAAAGTAGGGTCTACATCTCCGGTATCAAGTATTCTTCAAGAAAAAAAGCAGTCTTTAGTGTAATATAGATTGTAAAGTAGTTTGCCACTCTGCAGGGCATCAAATCACAACTGCAAGCCCAAACTTTCTTCAGTCTTGCATTTCTTTATTTATTTTTATATTTAGCTTCAGGCCTGACAGCTGTTAAAATACTTCACTACTCCCACACATACATATTGTACTAGCAGTCTTACACACTCAGAAGAGTTTATTAATAGAAGCTCTAAGAAAGAAGTTGTTCTTTCATGTGGTAACGATAAAAATTTCTTATAGTTGAACCTCTGCTCATCTGTTCCCCAGTTCCTTAAGAAACTAAACTAGTTTTAGTACTTAGCTCACAGAAGAGTAACAAGGTAGTAGTTTGAGATTTTTTTTTCATGTCCTTGTGATTGAAAATTAATTTTGATATTTTTGATTCTCTTTTGAATAGCTGGGGTTTAAACACACCTTCTATTTTAATGAAAGCTTGTTACGATGGTTCTTTATTTTTGAATATAGCTAAATTAAACTTGACCGTGTGAAAATGCCTAGCCCAAAGAAAATACAATGAAATTCCCAAGATAAAGAGCTTTGCTATAAATGCAGCCTGAAATGGGCAAATGCTCCAAGGTTTTCCTTTCTTTGCTTAGTGTCATATCCCTGGAAATAAATTGACTTGGTAAAAGGGGGAAATCTACAGCATATCCTAGATTATAACAACAAGATGCTCTGCACTCCCCCCAAACATCTGAGTTGTTACAGAAGTCATTCACTTAGCCAGAATCTTTTCTTTCTATACCAGGTTTGCCGATCAAATTCTGTCTCAAGGCTATTTTAGTGAATATTTTATTGTTTTTCTTACCTTTCTCATTGCTGTCATTAGATCGAAAAGGGCAATGTTAGCCTTGTTCTGCCCATCAGTGGTAGGGAAACTATACTGTCTTGTCAACAGGAGGGGGAGCATGTGCTAATAGGAAGAGCAGATGCTGGTGCTCTGTATTTGGATTAGAGACCCTATTGATCCAAAGAGGATTTATAGTAGCTGTGAGAGAGAAGATTGTCAAGCAATGTCATTGTTCCATCGTTAACCTTTCCCTCTTAAAGCCAAGGGTTGAAAGGTAGAAAGGTGTTACATCTAGGGAGATATTCTACTCTTTTTTTTTTTGTTTTGTGATTATTTATGAAAGAAAGAAAAACTCTGTGTAAGGGTTTCATCTATGAAAACAAAAATTAATTGCTTCAATAGATTTTAGTGCTTTTATTACAGGGAGAGTTGGTGCCATTCTTGATTCAGAGACAGTAAAACAGCAGTTCTCTTTGTTCCTTTTTATGATTATTATTTCCTTACTGAATACTTAAGTGTGCCTATTAGTTCAGCGTAATGAGCATTTACTTAGTGAACTGCAGATAAGATTCAATAGGACCTTGATAAGGCTTTGTTAAGGAATTTGTCATTCTGCATTCTGAAATGATTAACAGTGTGGGGGTTTTGTTTGTGCTAGGATTTTCAGAAAAAAAACCTTAAAATACCAAACTGAGAGGGATTTGAAAGGCTAAACCACAATCAGGTCTCCTCAGGAGCACAATAGAATATCAAGCTTTTTTTTTTTTTTTTCTTTTCAGAATAGTACCTGCAGAGACAAGCTTCTTTCTGAATTGCAATTTTAATTTTATTTTTATATCAATGTGACTGAACTACTGGGTTAGTTATATACATTTGTTTTATGTTCAGCTGTCTGCTAGGTTTATACTAATGTGGTATGTTTCCCTTTCTCTCTTCAGCTTAATAACCAGTTTGTATTTTGTTTTGATTTTTCAGTCCCGTCTTTTACCTTCACACCAACAGGTATATATTTGCACTTTTCCCCCCTTCTTTGTTACTTAAGCATGTGTTTGTGGTACTGTTTCTCTTTTTCTGACATAACCAACCAGCCCAGCTGTTCTGAAGGGTTTCTTTAAACAATTCCATTAATGACAGCTATCATTATTTGTTCTCTAAGTAGCGTGTATTTGCTTCGTGGCTGACAGTTTTTTCTGTTTGTGTGTACCATTTTGTAGCATTACCATTTCCTGCCAGCATGCCATTTTGTAGCATGATCTTGTCAGCTTGTACAGCCTGGGCTCTCTTCGTGTGTATTACAGTGGAGTAGTGTGGCCTTCTGCATCTAGGGATGAAAAGGTGGTTCTGATGGAGGAGGAATGACTTAGCAGAACCCAGATGCTGACTTGAAAGGGATTCAGTGGGATTATAGTTGGTGACACATTTGCTCCTTTTCTTTCCTCTGAATCTTCGTTAATCCAGTGACCTAGGAGTTGTCTACTTTAGAAGATACAGAAAATCAAAGTGTTACAGCTGTTAGATTTTTTGCCTGCTGCCTTAAACCATATTTGTGCTATGAAATTTTAAAATAGTTATCCTGTTCTGCTTAAACAGAGGTGCATTTAAAATTCGATGCACGTTTAAAATCATCTTCTATTTCCTTTTGTTTGGAAGTGTGCAAATATGGTCCAGTTCAAGCCACAGCCCACCAAAGTCCATGAGAGCCTTTCTGTTCTGTAGAGCTGACCTTCAGTGGGTCCCACAGTCTGGAAGCTGAGCAGCTCATCTTCTGCAGTAGATACAGTTCAACACATTCAGTACCCACTGGTATACTGCATTCCTTGTAGCTACAGCCTCAGTGAACAAACAGGTTGTTTCTTCCTCCAGTGCTCTAAATCCTTTATTTTCACAAGAGGTCTGTGAGATTTGTAGGATATGGATATCCAGGCAGGGTAAAAACCTCCCACCCCCTCCTCTGCACACTCAGGTTGGCAGGGCATATTAGCTCATAATCAGCACTGGACTAATTTGGCCTCTGTGAAGCAGCTGAGTTACATCCTTCAAGTTGGATGCAGACGAAGCAAACTCATGTCTGTCTGTGCTCATCCCCACGGAGCAAATTGTTCTGGGTTAGATTCTTATCCATGGGCTTTTAATCAATCTGGATAGTGCCTTGTTTCAAAAGTTGTACTCTTATTTTCAGTAGAGTTGCTTCCTGTTCAGCATGAGTCAGAGTGGCCCATAATATTTCTGAAGGCCTTTGAGATCTGTGATCCAGACTAATTCAAACTGTTATTATTTTGCTGTTACTTAATTGGCTTAACAGAGAGCTTATATAGCTCCAAAATAAATAGCCCTGAGATTTTTAAAGAAGAGATTGGGATAAACATAAAACACGTACAACATTAAAAGGAAAAAAAATTGTTTCTTTCAATCCACAATCTCAGTCATTTGTTCCTTTGACTTTAAATGGAACCAGACCCTCCTCTTTAGCATTAACTGTTGTAAAATACTTACCTATAGGAATGCATCCTACATTTTAATCCTGTTACTGTGATCGCTGCCAGCATTTATCTCTCTCTTGCAGACTCCCAGTTTGGAGTTCTACTAAACAGCAGAATTTGGCTGCTTGTTTTCAACACATTCCTAGTTGGAAAGTGTAGAATCCATCAGCATTTGCAGGAGGAAATCTCCTTAACCTTTTGCCAAACCCAGTGCAAACCTGCAGAATTTATAGCACTGTTTCTTCTTGGATGTTTGCATCCTAAAAATGAACTTTTCAAACACCATGCTTCCTATGAAGGATATGCAATCCCTGCCAGCAAACAACTACATGTGGACATCCACTTTGTTGATGTAGAATGTTTCTGAAATGCCAGCAAAATCATTCCTTCTGATTTACAAAATATTCTTTCTGCCAGATGTTTTTTTCTTTTAGCAAGATTCACACATTTAAATTTTTAGATTAGAAAGTTTTGTTTATAAATCCATCTGTAAAATGTTATAAAATGCAGAGGTTCTGTGGACTTTTAGAGTGTGCTTGTTCCCTGAGTGCAGTGCAGTAACATTCAGAAAGTGAATGTACTTTTGCAGTAGCTTCGGCTGTAATGAGCCATTGTTTACACTGGAAGTAAGGTCTGTTATGGAATCATGATACCTCTTTAATCATGCCAGAATAATAAGGTAGAGCAAAGCTTTAACATCTAGCCATTCATGAAATAAATATATGACCTAAATTCTTCCACAGAGTAACTCCACTGAAGTCAGCAGAGTTATGTTAAGGATAAGTTCAACCTGATGTATGGCTTCCTGCTTTCTTAAGCAATACATTGTGTGTGTGTGTGTGTGTATGTGTGTTTTTCAGAACAGAACTGAAATATAAAACCCTGTTGGGGCTAAGACTAGCAGTTAGCAAGGATCACAAATATTACTTATAAACTTTGGTTTGAAGCAATAGCTTGCAAAATGAGACTCAGAATTAATGTCTAAACAATGCACATTTATTGTCTTAGGTAAAATGAAACAAAGGCAAATGTAATACTGCTATTTCAGGAGTCTTATGATTTTAAAATTATTTCCTTTTTTTTTTATCTTTAATTATTTCAGTAACGTATCAAAGAGGAGGAGAGGCCGTAAGCAGTGGAGGCAGGTAATTATGTCCTTTATTCTTAAAGGTGTAAATCATGTGCATCTAAATTTAAGGATGCCAGAAGTACAATGGCCTTGTAAGTGATAGCAGAATAATCTCTTGCAAAGATATGTTTTAGTTCATTGTATTAATTTATGCATTGTAGCCATCTATTTTTCTGTTTAGAAGGAGGGTAGATGGTTTGAATTTTTAGGTTGACTTCCAAAAAATTAGTTGAAATACTTTAAGCTTTGTTAACCTGTAAAAACTGCATCTCAAAAAATGAGCAGCAGAGGGAGCGCTTTAACTTTGAAATGAAGACCTGGCTTACCACCTGATTAAGGGAGTAAAAGTAATTAAGTCATGGCATTTATGAAGATTAAGAAATATAGCTGGTTCACAAATACTGCAAAGAAAGAAAACATTTATTGGAAAAAATTGCTGAAGACATAAACGGCTTATAAGGTGACATTTTAAGAGAAAATCTTTCTGTGAATGCAAAATAGTTAAAGCTTCACTTACAAGAGACGGGGCACTGAAGGAGAGGGAAACAGGTAGGTTTTAAATTTACAGCCCCTCACTTTGAGAACCTGACCCATTCCAGACTGAAGATTTAACTAAAATACGTTTGCTGGTTTTACGTTATTACTTAATGAATGGCAATGAACAAAACAGTAATTTATATTCCCTGCGTAGAGGTGAAGTTTTCTCCAGGAAAAAAAAATAAAGGTTTTAGAAAAAGGCAGGTCAAAGCAGTGGTGCTTTAGTAGCACACCATTTTTTTTCTAGGTCACATTCAAACATGCCTTTTTATAAGCATCTCAGTTAAAGATTTGGCAGGATGCTGAAATAAACACTAAACTCTCAGAGACCAGCTGGGCAACAAATTCCTGTATCAATTCCTGTTTCACAAGTGGCATCTTGTGGTTCCTAATTTGCAAGATCGTGCAAAAAAATTGTTAATTGTGAAGATTAGTCATAAAATATTTCCAGTCTAACTGAATGCTGTGCAGAGGTGAGGCTACTCAGCTCCTGCTGCAGCTGAACCTCACATGGTAAGGGCAATTGCAGATATCTCTTGTCCAGCACTGGGTGCTGCTGCTTTGTCGTGGCCATAAATGCATGGAGGGAAGCCTCTAGAACAGTTACCCTGTGATTTTTTAATGGACAAATCTGTAAGTCACTGGGCTGCTGCCTTCACTCCAGGATAGTGAGAAAATAAGAGAGAACAGAGATGAACCCTCTCTTTCCCTGAAAAGGTTGTTCAAAAAGATACACAGTTAACAGCCTTTGTGTTCTTTGTGCCACTGGGCTTTCTTGCTCTTCCTATAGCACAAGCTAGACAAAGCACACTCATATAGACTCAGAGGACAGAAATGAACCCAGAAGTGTCTACATCATATACAGTCATTTTGGTAGGGCTAGAGAAGCAGCATCAATTTTACTGTCATAGTTTTCAACAGCAGTGCCATAATCTAGCAGTGTAGTTGATTCAAGGTGCTGACATCTACTCTGGGTTTGTACATTTGCATATATAGCATTTACAGCATGTAAGATGTATCTTATTTTGTAGAATATGAAACATACTTCTGCAATGTAAAAAAAAAATAAATTAAAAGTTATTTTTTGCACGTGAAACCTTCCTCTGATTTCCAAACCTAAGGTTTTGACTTCCTTACTTTATATATGCAGTGTTTTGGAAAGGTTTAGCATTTTTGCCAAGTGCGGTTACATGAGCACGTTAAAGCTTTTTTTTCAGAATTCAAAATGTCACAGTGATATATTTCAACATAATCCCCACTTCTGTGATGCTGAAAAAATACCCGTTTCTGTAGCAATGCCTTTTCTAGACAGTATTTGAGTAATGGTAATTGTGGTGGATTGACTCCAGCCACCATCTAGGCATCCACACAACCACTTGCTTGGTCCACTGTTACTCAGACCCAGTACAGCAATTCAGAGATTCCAGGAATTTGTTGCCAAGGTTAAAGATCTTTGGCAATTTTACTCTCAGATCATCACCAGGCTATGGAGCTGTAACGTGAGCATCTCTTGCCTACAGTCCCACCGAAATGGCTCCGTTTGGTAGAATCCTCATCTACTTATACACCTCACCCCAAATTTCTTACATGACAGTGGGTGTGAATGCAAAGTGAATTTTAGAAACAAAGGATCTCTATCCAAAAATCCCGTACGTGGGTCTTTTAAAGCGCTGAAACATTCTGGAATGCTTTGTCTCCTCTGAAAGCCTTGAGGTGTGGTTTCATTGTAAGAGCAGAATGGCAGGGAAAAAAGCAGGATATTTCAAATCAGCTGGCCTGCTCACAGGCCTACAGAGCCCTATGTTTATTTCAGATTTTTGAAAAAAATACTTCTTTACTGTATGTGCATTGACTGCTTTGTAAGCCTGACAGCAAGTCAAGCCTCATCACCTCCTATATTAAATTGTCAAATGACATATGCAGTACAGAAATATATATATACACATATATGTGTAGAACTTTTAAATGTCATTCTAAGACTATGACTTAAGCCTGCAGCACTGACAGACTCTATACCCCACAACTTAACTGCATGCAGTTTACGTTCTCAACTTGCTGTTTAAGAGGATTAGCATATTTTATTTTTGAAGATCATTGCATTTAATATTATGGAAGCTAGTTTCTGCACTATTTTAAGTGAAAAGTTGCCCATTAAATCCTGTGAGAAAGAGACTGTGTTATTTATATATATATCTATATAGATATATATATAAGACATAAGATGCTATTTGTGTGGGACTATAACATCCACTGCATTTCTAGTGTGAAAACTTCAGAGGCACGAAACATTCTACAGAACATTCATCAGAAATTTTCAACACTCACTAGAAAAATTCAGCAACTTGGAAAACAAGAAATGCTGTTTCTTTCCGCTGATGGCAGGAATATGCTTTATTCCAAATGCAGGCAGTAAGCAGCATTCATATCTGGATTTTTTTAAGCTGTTAAGTATTTCCAGTTACTTTAAACTTTCTTAGGAGCTGCTGCTGTTCTACTCACATAAAGATTGAGAGAGTGGCTTCCTCATTAGCATGGATGTATCACCCACTCGGTCTGGTTAGTGAGATCCAAATGCTCCCAAACACAGAGGTTTCTGTTATCTCCTGTTCCCTTTGATCCAGTACAGTAATACTGTTTAATGGTGAAGAGAACTTGGCTCCATAAGTCACCAAGAATTGGGACTACTCACAGCCAAATTTGGCTCTTATTTATCCATATCCATCTTGCTTCCATGTGTGAATTTTTTGTTTGTTTGACTTGCCAATTTCCTGGCTTTCTTAAAGAAAGGGTGAAGGGGCAGAAAAACAAAAATACAATCTTCTAAGAAAAAGGATTTTAAAAAAATTTAAGACCAAAGTGACAGTTAAAGGTTACACACCAATATACATGTGTAGTTCAGCAAAATGAACAGATGTTGTCCTTGGCTGTTCACTTTAGTGTTTTAGCAAGGACTAGGTTATATAAGAGACTAGAAACTGTTAAATAATTGATTCAAGCTGCATTTTCCAATGCTCAAGCCTTTAGACACGTGATATTATTTCATAATATCTCACCTTTTGAGAAGAGTGTAACTGCAATGTGGAAATGCTTTTGTTTAATTTTTGAAATGACCAAGCTTTGTTTTTAAAGGCCAGGACTCCTAAACATCAGTGAACCAGCCACTCAACCATGGCTAGCAGATACTTGGCCTAACACAGGGAACAATCACAATGACTGCTCCATCAACTGCTGCACCTCTGGCAATGGAAACAGTGATAGCAACCTCACAACGTACAGTCGACCAGGTTAGATATGTTTCTACCTTGCTAAGGAATCTTCTTTACAGACTATATGCTTCTAATACCTGAGAAAGTGTACAGGTTTGTTTGCTTTTTATTTCCAGTTCATTTAGACTTAATAGAGTTTCTCCTCTGTGTCATGATTATGCTTTTGGTCCCTTTTTGCATCCTTTTTTGGTCCCCTTTGGATAATTGTAGCAAGCTGTAGGCTGAAGGCGTCCCTGCGAAGTTCAATGCTACCAGAAGTCACATTGAACTGACATGTTTCAGCCTCTGAAAAGGGCAGATAAGGTTGTTAAGATTTTTAGGTTGTTCTGTACTTCCTTGCTGATTGAATGGAGAAGGAAAAGTACTGAAATGACACAGGATTTTCCTTCTGGTTGGGATGTGATGGGAAGCAAGAAATAAAACATTGCTACAGTACTTGCAGCAAAATCAGTCTACTTTGGCACATTCAGAACTTCCCTTGGAGAGCCATTCTGTACAAAAGTGGATAGCTGGTGTTCTGGTTAGGGTGTGTGCATAAAAAAGTTAACTTCACACCCTAAAAGCAATTACAAAATGTTAGGTTAAATGGTAGTTCCTGGGAGGTTGGACAGACTGGGTGCACTTAAAGAAAATCTCACGAGTTCCATGGGAACACTGTTGGGGAAATATATCTTGAAGTGCTAATTGTTGCACATTTTTCTTTAAACAGACCTTAGGTTCCTTTTGTTTTAACCCAGTTTGTGCTACTGGTGAGGAATGAAACGAGTCTTTTCGCTACCACCATCTCTAGCTGGTTTTGGCTCACAGCATCTCCCAGCATTTCAGACAGGGAGTGTGATTACCTGTAGTGAAGTTGCATAAGTGCAAAGCAGCATTACCTCCTATAATTAACGTGAAACCAGCTCTAATGGTTGGTAATTCATGGATGGTGGTAATGGTGATTCATCTCCTGCAATTATGCTGTCTGGCAGTGACCAGTGCCAGGTTCTTCAGATGAGAGATTTTGACATTAGAGACTTAGATCTCACTCTGCCTGAGGATATCACATCCACAGCTACCTGTGTAAAAAGATTTCTGATACAGGGATGCTGCACTGTGGCAAGGACAGACATAGCAAATTCTAGTCATTGAAATTTAACACGTTCAGGAAAGGAAGAGAACGCACATTTTTGAGGGCTGCAAACTATTATGACGTCTTGTAATGAGCTGCAGTGGATTCTTCCTCATTTTGGCTTTCATGTTAAGCTTGGTTGTGTTGCAAAGGGAATTCTTCCTCTCAAGTAGAACTTTTGAACTTGGGGGTCAGAAAATGTGTTCATAATGGTCTCCTGTCCTGGAAAATCTGACAAGTGTTTTTAATTCTGTCAGCTTGGGCTTGGTTTATACTCGGAAGCAGCAGCGATGGATATCCCCTCTATAGCTGTGAATATGCTAAGTAGCTGCATTTTTAATTGCTTTTAAGTATAACACTGTCTTCCAAGTCTACAGAATGGGAACAGATTGCTCCAAAAGTTAATGTTATAAAAAAAATCTAACAGAATAAATTTTCTGTTATATAGGTAAATCAATTTTAAGTACTTTGTTTGAGGAATTCTAATGTGTCTATGTAAAAAAATGTACCTACTGCACATACTGTATTGATTATATTGCCTTACACACAAATCAGAGGTAGCTGCAAATGGAAGGAGGTAAAATGTGTGTTATAAGTTATATTATAGAATATAATTCAGTAGGTGAAAGAAAAAGCAGAAATGAAAACATTTAAACAGTAGAAGTCAAGAAGTTGAAGACTGTGAAGCAATAAATAACAGAAGCAATAAATAACATCTCACATAAGAAAGAAAAATATATCAAAATAAAGAAAAATATATCAAACCAGAAAAACCTTCAAGGAAACACAGGCTGGAGGGCATGAAGTGTACAGTGATAAGCTCTCTGTGGCATGTTCTGATATTGTTCTTTAGTTGCTGAAAATATGGATCAGTGGTTTTTATTCTCAAGTAGTATTTTATATCTCTTTCTCAGGAAATATTCCTCAAAGATATATATGTATTAGGGAATATTTTTGAAACTGAACATCCTCTGTGTTTACTGATTATTTCATTTAGAGTAATGGTAAAATCTTGAATTCTGTGCGTAGTTTTACTTGGCATCCTCTCCAGTAAATTCATTGTGGCCACAGGTAATGGACTTCAGGCTTTGAATCAAATTCATTAACATAAATACCACATCTTTTAAAAGAGCAAAAGTATATTCCTGGTGAGTGTTATGTAATTATTGATGAATTAATCAAGTGGAAAATGAGAATTTCTGCTTAAGGATCATTGAATGCTAGTTTCACTAAGCCTTCTGACTGCTGACCCACAGACTATTTTACTCCATTCAGTATTCTCCCAGTGGACTGGATGTGGAGAGGAAAAAAATATGTGGATCTGCTGTCACACAGAGGCAAGAGAACCTGGAAAGACAGGGACACTGTTTCATGCAGGATTGTCCAGAGCATCAGCACATGTCTGATTTACTCTCTGCAATAAGTGCATTTCATGATGCAGTAAACTCTGAGAAGAATGAATTCATGCTGTCTTTTTGATATATCTTTAGCATACAGGACACTGGTATTACTATGGTACTATGTATTTTGCAATATCCAAAGCAACTAAATATTAGAAAAAATTCCAGATTGCTTTCCTGGTTTTGTTTTTTTTTTGTTTCAAATCAAATATAAGACTGTACAAGGAAACAATGATCAAATAAAGGCTTGCTACTGGGTACCGAGTTACCTTTTACATTGTACTGTTTTTCTTTAATTCTGCTATGTGTAATCATTTTTCACTCTGTTTTATAAAAATCTGTGTATCTTTATTTCTTATCACAAATATAAGAACATCTAAATGCTGTTGAGGTGTCACGAGGTGATTGTCACTGTTTAGTTATTCCCACTATTAAGTTTTGGTTAATTTTTCCCTGCAGTGCATATTATTTTAATCACAATTATTAATTGAATATCTATGCTGCTTTGAGAATAATGTCTAAAAATATGCATGTTTATATGGGCCCTGTAGAAAAGCCCAGCAAGGTAAGTCATTGTAGATGCAATTCAGAAGGTCCTAATTTACAGTGAAACAAAACAGTGAACCCTACTTTTGGAGCAGTACTTTATAAGGTAAATAATATCCTATAAATTATTTAGTAAATGACAGTATCTCTGCTTGAGTATCTCTGCTTCATGGATGCAAGCCATATATAGTTATGCACTAAAAAAAGAAATTTTAAAGGGGGTTTCATTGGAAGTACAGTGTAAGCGAACAGAATGACCTTTTCTCTTTTCTCTCCTCTGTGGTTAGCCGATTGTATAGCAAATTACAACAATCAGCTGGACAACAAGCAGACAAACCTGATGTTGCCTGAGTCAACTGTGTATGGGGACGTGGACCTCAGCAACAAAATGAATGAGATGAAAACCTTCAATAGTCCAAATCTAAAGGACGGAAGATTTGTCAGCCAGCCTGGGCAGCCCACTCCTTATGCCACCACTCAACTCATCCAGTCAAATATCAGCAATAATGTTAACAATGGCAGCGGGGACACGAATGAGAAACACTGGAAACCCTCTGTTCAGCAAAAGCAAGAGGTTCCACCCATACAGTACAACATTATGGAGCAAAACAAATTAAACAAAGGTGAAGAGCTTTTAGCTTGTTTCTCCTCTTTAGGCATCAGAGGAGCTTTGACCTTCTGGTGCTGGGAGTCTGAAGCTTTCAGGTTCAGCAATTACAGGCTTCTGTGGTGCTTTTAGACTTCTGCCTCTTTAGATTTAGAAATCCGCAGCTAGCAGTGTCAGAAAGTTAATTAGCACCACAATAACCTTCAGATATTGAATTTATTGAAAAAAATAACAAGCTGTATCTTTAGAGAAGAGTTAAATAAAATACATTTCCTATGGATATGAGATTAATTTAAATTTAATAGTAGTTAAGGGATTGGTTAGGACAGAGGCCAGATATTTTATTCATAAGCCAGATGCATGGTAGTCACATTATATTCTACCTTAAATTTTAAATAGGTCAACCCACTCTTCCCAGTCGTGGATGGAGACTAATTAAATCTACATGTTCATGTAAACGAATGAAATTTTGCATATCAAACTCTGCAAAATTGTATTATGTTGTACACTGGGGACACAAATGGAGTGATCCAATTCGTTTTAGACATGTTCCTAGCAAGCCTTCAATTCTTGTATTGAGAGGCAATGCTACCGCACACAGGTTTGGAAACTAAATTCCTGTGTTACCCTGACTGAAGTCTGTGGATCCAGAAGCTAAAAATAAATTGATTTCAGTGTTAACGGGAAACATCAGAATGGGCTTTTGTGTCCTCGAGGGCATGTTTCTTTAATACACTGTGTGGGAGTTGGACGAAATAGGTATGTGATTTCTTGCTAGCTCTCCAGGCTACCATGCAACCTTTTCTAATAACCTGATTTGCAAAACAGTATCCCTAGGAACTGGACCCATTCTAACTTGGAACTTTTTACATGGATTGTTGTAGCTCAAGTGATGGCATAGTGATAAGTGATCCAGTAAAAAGAAAACTTTCCTTACAGGAATGTTGGTTTCTCTACCGGACCCATCTACTCACAGAGGAGTCCAATGGGCAATATAAAACATGACACCTTCCCTTGACATAAATGTACCAAAAGAAAATTCAGGGGTTTTGGCTCCTTGCTAGAGGGTGAAAGCTGTATTTTTTGTAATTGTTTTCTTTCGTGAACTGTGTATTACGTATCTGCTTGGGAATTAAAACACGTTTGGTTTTTATGCGCTGGGAGATACTGCATCTTTCAAACTGTGTATATTACAGCTGCATATTCTCTAGCATATTGTAGTGTGAAAAGGCCCCCTTAAAGCATTGTCTGCTGACAGTCCTATATACATGTTTCAGAGTGCTGATTTACTGTTTATCCTCTGTGTAAACATATGTGGTATGTAGGGCTTCAGCATGGTCTGTGGAATGCAACTAGGCTGAGAAACTATTACAGAATACACTCTGGTGTGGAATTTATCATTTTGCTCTTTTTCCCATGCTTGCATTGTCACAAACATTTCTGCAGCAGATGGGGACAGAATTCTTAGTTTCGTTTATTTTTGTTTTGATTTGCTTTTTTATGTGTTAGTATTCTGATCTTGGTTTTCTCATTTCCTAAGTCAAAGCCATCTTGCTGCTGATTATACCTATAGCTTTTGTGATGGGAAATAACTGTTTTGATGAGTTACATGCGGTGCTTCATTGTCACTATTTTGTGTCCAGTGGTTCTGTTTGTGACACAGTTTTATTTGCTGTATGAAGAGTAACTCAGCTCCTTTCTGTTCTCTGTAAATTACAGTTCCTTTTTAGCGTGAGAGTATTGTTGTGCCAGATGAGTATTTTACTTCTGATAAATTTTTAGAGATCTGGTTGCCAAATCTAGATTTTTAAAGTACTATATATGTATCAAGTGCTTTGGAACTGGAGAAGAAAGTTACAGTTACAGCCATTAGCAGAAAAAGGCCCTGCCTGTAGAACCTGCATGATCCAGTGTAAATAGAAATCTTCTTGGAGTCAACAGACCTGAAACAAAGATCTCTTCTGTTGCAAACCAAATTCAGTGGAGCTGCATTGTTGCTCCAGCAGATCATTCAGCCTTGTCATACAGGGCTGGCTCCTGTGTGGGTTTGTCACCTTTGAAATACGAAAAGTAGATACCACAGTCCATTGGTTGCCCTGCATGGATAAATTAGGCAGAGACCATGGAAAATCAATCAAGGTGACAGTGTACTTGTATACAAAATGTTCACACAGGTCATGTGTGTGTATATATATGTATATCCATTGAAACTTAATTGTTGCAGAGGCTTTGTGAAAACTCTGTGCATAGGATTTCATTTTACTCCATTTTAGCCATGGAGCTACTAAGTTCCCATGATTTTCCTTAAGCTTACAATTAGAGACAAATTAAAAATAAAACACGATCGTAGGATGATTTTGCTTACTAAAAAAAATGAATTTATTTCTTACTATTTTCAGGAGATCTTACTTTGTGTTCTAAAGCAGGTACATAGATGTGTTTCTGAAGGGTAGCATTAATTATACTATTAAACTTGCAGATTATCGAGTAAATGACAACATTGCTCCAACTATTCCCTACAACCAGTCATACGACCAGAATACAGGTGGATCCTACAACAGCTCAGACAGAGGCAGTAGTACATCTGGTGAGTATCTACAGTGTTTTCCAAACCTTAGGCTTTGTGGTATTTGGTCACTGTAGCCGTGGTTCGCACTGTCTGCTGGATTAGAGAAGGAATGATGTGGAGGAACCCACTGACAGGAGAACAGCACAAAAACTGGCCCAAAAGGTTCTTATATTTCTGTTGCATACTCATGATTGCTTAGTGTCATCTAAATGTCAGTTAAGTAATTGGTGGTCCAGAATTGTGAAAGTCATGAAGTCAAATAGAGGTTGGATTTCCTAATGTTAATACCCTACTTGTTAATGTTATGGTCTCCAGGTGGGCAAGTCATAGAAATTTCTTTTCAAATGCCACAAAAAAAAAAAAAGACTGTTTGGGGTCTACTCACTCAAGACAACCTTATTCATGAACAGGCTCAAGATACCAGAGCATTTCAGTGATACCTAACAGAACTGCTTTAAGAAATTCTTAATTTTATAAATTAAACCCATGCATTTTTTTGAGCAAAAAAAATTCTATATATTTCAGTCACTCTATGTCAGAATTATTCTTGTACATCATTCAGATGTAGGCAGTAGATAATCAAAGTTAAATTTTGTTTCTTATTGTTACCTCCTGTACAAACTATCTAAAAATCCTTTGTGAAAATGTTGAAACAAAACAGCTTTTTGTGCTGGAGAATGCTGACCTGGGCACTGAAATTGTACTCTGTGCTTTGGAACCACAGATTATGGTTTAATTCAAAAGTTACTCTTTATCATTGTGGTATAACCTGTTCACTTCCAGGTTTGATTTCTAGTAGAGCTATATGAAATATTCAGAGCTAAACCAGAAACTATGCATAGGCTTGGTTTGGGGCTTTACTGTAAGTCTGAGACTGTGTTTATTTACATCAAACCAATTATAGGGTGAGTTATGGTCACAGTCACTTCTGCCCTGGACTTTACATCTGCTAAACAAGACAGGGACTTTTCACATTCTGTTCTGCTGTTACCTTTGATAGTCCAGTTCCCTCAGTCCTAACCTGTGCTCTGTCTTGACCGTTTCTGACTGAGGAACAGCAGAGACATAAATATGCTGATGAGCCCGCTATGCCTCTGGATGACCTGAATTCCCAGTGGCTGGAGTGAGATAAACACAGCTCCCAGTTCTTCCAGCTGCTCAGGGGTGTTGTTCTGGGAGACAGCCTTTTGCCTGTTCCCAGGTCTGCAACATCTGGATGTGGTGCTGAGCCAGTGCTCAGTGACGTTAAGACCTGAAATTCAGCGTGGAGCATCTCAAGGGTATGAACCCATGCAAATTAAAAATGAGAAGGTGGTATTCTCCATGCTGATGCCTATTAGGGTTATTCAGAAGTCTGACAATTTATAGTCCCGTACTAAGGACTCCAGCAGAAATGAAGCAAGGTGACCAGAGTAATAAATCAGTTGTGCTGAACCCAGTATATATCATGGTGCTTAGGGTAGAGAATGCAGATGATGGTCGCCTTGGGATAGTTAGGGTCTTGCTTAATGTACTGAGATACCAGAAAAATAATTGTACATACCCAAAACATGTCTCTTACTGTCTGTAAGAGTGGAAAATGTGAGACAGCAGAAGTGAGAAAAACAGGCTTCCTAAATCTCACTGCAACATATTTAATCATGTGCATAAGGCTTAACTGTGGGAATATAAAATCATGCTTCAGTTTAGGAGAGAAATGTGAAGGATTCTAAAACATGCTCAAAAATAGTCGCTTTATCTACAATAAAGGAGTAACATTAACAAAGGAGAATTAAAATATGTACTAAGGAACAGTGGTTGAGTCAGTTCTCATCACAGCCGTGTCCAAACTTAAAATTCAAGACCACCTGAATAATTGGTCTATTCAAAGTTATTTGAACTGTTAAAACTGTGTTGGTTTATTATGAGCTGTAATTTTCCAGTAATAGTAGTTGAAAACATTTGTGAAATACTTAATCTTTCTTTTGATTTTTCTTCTGTTATTTTAGTTCTTCCAGCAATTATTTTCAACTGCACCTGCCATTTAGACTAAAAGTAGTAATTTCATTGTGCCTAAAATGTTTCAGTGGACAAGTACAAATTACATATATTCGGTGACTTAATGCAACAGTGGAACTTTAGTAATCATATCTGTATAATATTGTATATTAGATTCTGGCAATTAAATAGTATAAAGGCACTTTAGAAAATATGTCTACAGCTCATTTGTTTTAGATGATAATCTATAATGTAATTAATAGAAGTAGGAAGCTCACTCTTAATGACATTGCTTGTAAAATTCATTTACAGTTTTATCGCATTTTGACTATTTATTGACAATTAAAGTTTTGTATCCTATGTGGTTTTTTCCATACTATGTAAGAAGTTTCTGGTTAAATTCAACCATTTAAAATGTAGACTAGTTCTGCAAAGAAGCAACAAGTAGAAATTGGTGTAAAAAGCAGGAGTGGAAATTTGCTCCAAACTCAGCACAAGAGTAAATTCCCAGAGAATACAAGAGCATCTGGGAGGGGCTAGAGTTATTTTGTTTTTCATAGGCAGTGCTGAGGAGAGAGTTAAAAGCATTACAAGTGTGTGCTGCTTTTTATTCGCAGGGAGTCAAGGGCACAAGAAGGGTGCTCGGACCCCAAAGGCCCCCAAGCAGGCCGGGATGAACTGGGCAGACCTTCTTCCACCCCCTCCAGCACATCCACCCCCCCATAGCAATAGTGAAGATTACAGCCTTTCAGTGGATGAAAGGTAAGAAAGACGAAGACATCAACCGTTTCTCAACTTTAATCACTGGTTAATTGAACTGTAATTTGCCCTACAAGCTGGCAGTGAGACCTTCCTTCAGCACCATTCTGGTGCTGCTCATCTAGCTGTAGTGTGGCTATTTAGAGAGCACTTACTGACAGTGGTGTACATCCACTCAATGCATCCTTACTAAGCTATTTTCAAGAGCACGCAGAACAATGATTTGTTTCTGGGCTATTTATACATGTAACAAGATATGCTAATTCCACAGTACAAATTTAAGTCCTTATTTTCTTAAAAAATTAATTTTAGCTATGACCAAGAAATTCCTTGTCCTGTCCCACCCGCAAGGATGTACCTGCAGCAGGATGAGCTAGAGGAAGAGGAAGAAGATGAGCGAGGTCCTACTCCACCTGTCCGAGGAGCAGCCTCCTCTCCAGCCGCTGTCTCCTATAGCCACCAGTCAACTGCCACTCTCACCCCCTCTCCCCAGGAAGAACTCCAGCCCATGTTGCAGGACTGTCAGGAGGAGCTGGGACACACACAACACCAACCTGACCGGAGGTGTGTGAACGCAAATGTAGCGAGAGGGATGTGATGAGAGCCATCCTAGCCCCGCTGAAAATTCCTGTTGAATTCAGTGAGGCCAAGATTTTCCCCTAGATATTTATTCTGTGGATATTTAACTTCTAATCCAGGATGCTAGAACTATTTTAAGCTAAGAAATAGGTAATTAATTTGCTTTATTATCATACCAGGGAAAGAAATGCCGTATATCACTTTAGGGTGCGTACGGTGCTGACATAAGTTAAATTCACAGTCATCAGGATATTAAAGTGGTATCGTTAACACAGCTTACCATATAATTACAGTTCCATTGTTTCCAATAGATTTACTGCATTATTACCATAAAATAGCATGCATTATTTCACAGTAACTGTGCAATTAACTTGTCACCAATATGTATGAATATATATAAATATATAATTTATATAACCTATAGATTTTCCTCCTCTCATAAATCCTAATACAGGAAATTACGGCTTGCAAAATTTTCTTAACATTTCCATCTGCCCTTATTTAAAGAAGTGACCGACATTAATAAAGATAGATATTTGTTGCGGGGAAATTTTGTTTCTTCTCTGAGTTGCTTTTAGTACAAACTATTTTGCATATACACTCTCACAGCTTCTCTTCTATAAAGCAGTGAATTTTGAATGAGGCTTTTTATGTATGATGCTTACTTGTCTTGCTTTATTTAAAGAAGGCACAGCATTTCTGTCCCAAATTATGTCTCTTTTATTATTTTTTCCTCCAGTGGTTTGCACACATTGTTTGTTATGACAAATATATAAACTTACCTGCAATATTCTAGCTATAGTTTCTATTTTTAGTGAAATCCAGACCTATTATGATAAAATTAATTTTGATCTTACAGAGTAAACTGTAGAACTTTGGTTTTATTAATACAGCTTACTGGACATTTATGGATGTATTTTCCAGAATGTCTATGTTCCAGAATGTTAGTTCACGTCTATGTTTCCCATTTTTTAAGTAAGCAGTAGTTATAGGCCCTTTTTTGAAAGGGCCTATATCTGCTTTTACTTTTGCTCTCCACTTCTACTTGATCTGCCTTGGTTTGTTTTCTTTACTCTTTGTGTTAGCACTTCTTGTACTGTGTATTTTATCTCTACCTTCCTGAGTCTTTAAAATCACTCTTTTATTAGATCACTAATAATATTTTCCTGTAATTTCCATTGGCCTTGATATGTTGGTCCACAGAAGTGTTAAATTTGCCTTTTCTGTCTTTTTTCAAACATCATTTCTTTTCTTCTTGCTGTATCCATCTCATCAGTTTTAAAATATTCATATTATTCTATTTATTTGATTTGTAAGGCTTGGCTGACTGCCTGTTCCATCTAATGGCATTGATATGACCCATGGCTTCTGTGTAGGAGTTGGGTGTACTGTGCTCAACGGCTGTAGCCCATTCTGGAAGGGGCAGTTCCATTTTGAACATGGTGTGACAATACTTTGGAATTAAGAATAGCTTACAAGTGGTGTCTCTGTATTAATTTCAGGAGTTTTGTAAATGGTAGTTTTGTACTGAAAATAATGTCTAACATACTGTTTGTCATACCTTTCATGAGCTTTACTTGTAGTTCTGCTGAATATTTTCTCAATTCCTGATCAGAACCAAGCACCTAGAATAGCATTCTGGTAGTGATGGTGTACTGTAATATTTCTCTGTCTGGTCAGCTTGGTAGAAATATAGCAAACTGAAACAGAAATCCATGCTCTAGAAGAGTCAACAAGGAGAGAAAAAACTCTAAAGATTTAGTGGGATAGCAGATGTTATCAATGTTAAAGAGAGAGCTGAGATAGGACAGTGTCCCTGTGAAAGTGAGAACCACTGCATCAAAGTGGAATAAGTATTGTTAATTCCATATGCCCATGAAGCAGCTGCTCTCAATTGGCCTGTCCTCAAAGATTGGCAGCCAAGCTATATTTTCAAGAACCCTAATGTATTTTGTAAACAGGTGCCTGTCCTCTAGTACTAAAACCTGGAGAATAGGAAACCTGGCAAATATATCACAGGGACAATTGCCACAAGAGCTTTAAATTAAGGCAGTAAAACTTTGTTGGGCAAGGTCTCTAGTCAAAGCAGGTAGAGATTCCCAGGCATCAACAGCTTCTGGGATTTGGCAGTGAGGAAGTGGTGTTATTAAATGATTATTGGATATATATCTGTAAGTGACCTGTTCTTTATTCTGTCCAGTACTTAATACAGCAAGTGAAAAACAGTGGCTAGATGATGTAGTCCAGGGAGGTTCCAACTTGCTCTTGCCTTCCAAAATTAATATGTATTCCTACTTATTAATTTTTTTTTTAATTGCATGTCACACATGCAAAAAAATATATTATTTTATGAGAGCCATCATTTCTCAATGAGATAATAAGACTGACAAAGGAAAGTTACTGTGGAAATTTTCAAATTTTACTGCAGGCTGCAGTAAAAATTCCTGGTGAGCAAAGCTAACAGGACAACCATTATTGCAGAAAGTATGTTTTCCTGTCAGAGAAATGGCAGTTAAAGATCATGTCTGTGGCCCAGTGAAGAACTAATGACCATGTTGGTATCTGGGACTTCTGAATGAAGTATTAACTAAACTTGAACACAGATCTAATGATATCTAATACTTTGCTTCTTTAAGCTGGACACACCATTACTGGCAAATTAAGATCAAAATAAATTAACCTATACCTCTGCATGCATTTTGGTATCCCTAATATCAAGAACTAACATTACAGTAGAGAATTCTTTTTTTATTTTATCACCTAGACCAATTTAAAATATAATGAAATAGCAATCTCTCTTTTCATATCTTTCTGAATCACTGGGGTGGGTGGAGGGAAGACAACTTTTGCAGAGCAATTTGTTTGGATAGATGCATTTCTTGATGTCAATTGTTTAAGCTTATAAAGATATACAGACATTTCTTTTGCTCATACTCTCAAGGGTGCACAAGTAATTTTTTTAATGGTCACGTGATCTGTAACCACCTCTTTGCCTAGTTGTACCTGTGCTACCTTAGGGAAATTGAACAGCCTAATGCAAAATAAGCTCATTTTCATTAAAGTTAGTGATAAAGGAGCCATATTCAGATGTCTTTGTGACATAACTGTCAATTCTGATTTACAGCAAAAATAAGAACTAAAAAGCAAACAGTGCTGAACCTTCCAGATATAAATTCTGGTGATTTAAAAAGGCAGGTCAAGCTTGCTGGGAAATAAAAGAAGTGTTTTCATCAGCCTCCTATTTCCTCTGACTGTGTTAAGTGGCTTCAATTCTTCCCTTGTATTTTTGTGCAGACGTCAACCTGTGAGTCCTCCGCCCCCTCCAAGGCCCATCTCCCCACCACATACCTATGGATACATCTCAGGGCCCTTGGTCTCTGACATGGATACCGACGCACCGGAGGAGGAGGAGGATGAGGCCGATATAGAGGTTGCCAAGATGCAGAACAGGAGGCTCCTTTTGCGCGGCCTCGAGCAGACCCCTGCCTCCAGCGTTGGGGATTTGGAGAGCTCTGTGACAGGGTCCATGATCAATGGCTGGGGTTCAGCCTCTGAAGAAGACAACATCTCGAGCGGGCGGTCCAGCGTCAGCTCCTCCGACGGATCGTTTTTTACCGATGCAGATTTTGCACAGGCTGTGGCAGCAGCTGCGGAATACGCTGGTCTGAAAGTAGCCAGGCGTCAGATGCAGGATGCAGCAGGAGGTGAGTTTGATGGGAGGAGGAAAAAAAGTGGCCATTGTGAGTTGAATCTACCCACAGACGCTTTCTGCATTCCTGTTCTTAGAATGTTCAGAAATTCAGGTGTGGAGGCCTTAACACTTGTGAAACAGTTCAAATAAATTGCTGCCCTACATTGTTTTTCATAAGTAGCTCCTAATCTTTTGGTCTCATTGACTACTGACAAACCTCAACCCTGCTGGTGGATTTGCACCCAGAACTGAATGAGGGAAAAAAAAAAACAACAGAAAAAGGCTCACAGGATTCTGTCATGTTCTAGTACAAGGCTCCCAGTGTTTTCAGTCACTCTTCATGAGATTTAATCCCTCTGTACTGAAATGTCCAATAAAGAGTAAACCTATTTTTTCAAATCCCCTGGATTTGAAAAAAAAATAATGTTTTTCTTTTGAGGAATCCTGTCCAGCCTCTTACTGCTGTGTTATTGGGACAAGCTGGCTTTGTGTTGGTTTCATAATTTGACAGATGTTATGAGTTGCAGTTTGGATTATAGATCATGCATGTGCAGCAAGGCCTTATGCATATGTTTTTTCCTTTTTCCTTTCTCCTGAATCACCATTGAACATATGAAATACGATATTTGAAATACAATATACTGGGTACTGATAGCACTGGATATATACAGGTAATCAGTAACCTGACTAGACCAAATGGATATTGTTATAGTTCAGCTAAGAAATGAGAATACAGCAGGCTGGGATACAAGTTTCATGTTTTGACAACCAGTCCTATTAAACTGCCAGACCTGGAGAAGACGTATTCTGTCACAAGTGTGTCCACTCTTGACTCCACAGATTTTCAACCTTCCTCCCATTTCTGATATCCTCTACCAGTTAACAGTCCTTTGTTCCATTTCAACACAGCTGTTCATCATGAAGAGTGAGAGGGGAGGTAATTTAGTAATTCTGGACGAAATCCTGGCCGATTGAAGTAGGTAGCAAAACTCCCATTCATAGCCACATGGCCAGGATTTTATCCATTCTGTACACATAAGTTCGTATAAATATGTGTGTTTACATGTGTGTAGCTTTATGTATTTACTAAAGGTCTTTTTATACCCAGTTTCTAATAATTTTGCAACAGTTAAGTTCATGTTATATAATGATTTCTATATACTGATATTACCTCTGCCTCACTACACATCCTAAAGATGTGACACTGCTTATCTGCAAATAAGCTGTGATAAAATCCAGTCCTACAGTTCCTGATAATTCACTCAAGGTGGCAGAGGGGGCTTCTGTACCTGAGACCTGCTGGTGACTTGCTCTGCTTTATGGCACCTGTGAACTCACGTGGCCCAAGCTAGGGGAGGTGAAACCTGTCTGGAAAGGGAAACATTTTGCTCTTTTCAGAAAGTTGCAGGGTGGGAATGCTGCTTGTGCTTGCCTGCCAATGGAGTTCATGCTCCTGGGGCAGGAGCTACCAGCTACTAAGCAGCTGGATAATTTCTGTGCAACTAAGCCAGCCTGCCTACTAATAGCAAATGCTCTGATTTAGTTACAGATCACTCTAAAACTGGATGAATTTTACTATTGTTCCAGCAGTGTCTTTTTATGTTTTGTATAACTTAGTCATTCTGCTGTTAAAAAAAGTGAATGGTCTTAGATAAGGAAAATAATACTGTTCTGTAACAATTTCCAGGCCGTAGACATTTCCATGCATCACACTGTCCTAGACCCACCAGCCCTGTATCTACCGACAGCAACATGAGTGCTGTTGTAATACAGAAGGTCCGACCTGCCAAAAAGCAAAAACACCAGCCAGGACATCTGCGCAGAGAAGTCTACACAGATGGTGAGTCCACTGAAACGGTTGAAAACGTCAGTGAACCTTTCTAAATATCCATTCAGCCCGTGTGTGTGAAATTTTTCCGCAGAGATAGCATTATGTTTCAGAATCCAGTGATTTGTGTTTCCTGTTGCTAAACACGCTGAGCAGATTAATCATTTTAAATGCCAGAGTTCCTTAATACCGTACATTGATGCTTCCACTCCAGAGCCTTGCACCTGTTTTCTATAGTGTCCTAATCGGCTAATTACCGTCATTATTTAAGAGCCCAGATAGCATAAATAGTACAGTCATTGAGAATAATGTGTGGTTAGGATTAAAATCTTCATTCACGTGACCGGCTATTAAAACCTTCAGAATTTGTCTTTTCCTGAAAAAAACAGTTCACCATCCCAGTGGTGGACAACACAAATCAATGAATTCTAATCCTGACCACGGCGTTGTTGCAAGCGGTTACTTTGTGAGTAAAAGCAAATCTAATCATCTTCTCTCGTGCCTTCACACACAATATCAACTCTTGCTGAAAAGGTAGTGCTTGTATTCTCTTGGGGGTGTAGGAGGATAATGCAAACATTGTGATGTTTTCTAGAGAGAGCCTTTAATGAAAATGCCTCAGGTGGTGCAGCTTTTATTAAAGCACTACCTTCCAGTTTTATAAAACAACCCGCGGGCTTTGTTGGAAATTCACGTAAGATAAATTCTCCAAGACTTAACTCATCTTGTCAAGTTTGCTGAATTTGCTAACAGGGGAGGGTGGGGGGGTAGGGAAAAGAAAGGCATCACTCCCCCACCTCCTCTGCAACAACAATCTGATTAGGACTTTCATTACCAGTCTGAAATTTTTCAAAGAGGGGCATCATTTGCCATTATCATATGAAAGCCTAATATTATAGATCCTTATCCAGGGTTACAAGAAGGGAGTTTTGAACCACTTCTCCCTGTGATTCCTGCCACTTGATGAAAAAATTTAATACAAAGCTCAAAGCACGATGAGCAGAAGTAATTTAGCAATGAGTGGTTGTCCGTGCTATTATCTGTACTTTATTCTGAGTATTTTCTCTCAGTAGCATCTATCTGGTATTAGGCTGCATTAAATACTGGCATGACACAGTGCACCTGGGCCTCTTGGCTTCTGCCCAGGCCCCTTCTGTCAGTGAAACTGAGCTGTTGGAATATTATCTGATTTCGAGAGGTTGTTACAGTGGTTTTGTGCGTGTTTGCTTCTGTGAAAGGACAGCACAAGGTGTAAATCCCAAAACTGTACCAGAAACGTTATGTTTATGAGACTCTTGTAATGGCGTTTCACAAGATTTTATTGACGTTTTATCAGCTTTTATCCTTTTGAAGAGAATGCTCTTAGCTAAATAATTGGCAGAGCATCAAACCTCAATACTAACACAACAGCTAGGACATCAGAAATAAAATCTGGACAGGAGTTTTATGTGGCCATTTGCTTCTAACACAGGGATAAATAAGAGGTGGGTCTTATTTGATGATGGGTTTTTGTAAAAGTAGTTATACAGAGCTAAATCATAGAGCATCATCATTAGATGTTGCAATAGATTTGACAATCATGATCAATATTTGTTTTGTGTTATGTAGCACCTGCTTACTTCAGCATATTTTTTAATTAGGAAAGAATTTCCACTAACCTCTTTAGAGTGCAATACAGTGTGGTCATTCAGGGAATAGCAAATTATGGCTTTAATTTCTGCAGATCCAATAAAACCCAGTTCAAAGGTTGAAGGGCTTGTTTGGATTTGATTTTTTTTTAATTATTTTTTCCCCCTCAGTCTATTTACATAGGCCTATTTGGAACCTTACTGTAGATTCTAACCATTCATTTTAATAGCCACATCTAGTATTATTGTGTCATGTTAGAATTAGCTACAAAATAACATTTACTAATTGTTTTCCTTAAGTGGAGAAAACCATGATGGATGCATGAATGAAACATTTAAGCACCATTGACCTTTCCCAGATATACTTAGGTTTTTCCATTGGCTTATTGTCACAATATTATTTATCATCTTTATAAAGGAGTGCCTGATAGAACGATTTTTTATTTCCTCATAGTGGGTGAACATACATGTGTTTTTAGTAGAGGCAAAAAAAGCAGATATTCTGAATTCAAGAATTTGTTGGTTGCTAGAAGCATTCCATAACTACTAAAAGGAGAAAAATACATTGTTTCATTACTTTCTCAGCCTTTAAGATGGAATTTACTTTCACACATAAAGAATCTTCTGCTGTTCCCAAATTACCTGAATTAGTATTTGCCAGAAGTTTCATGAAATACCAGTGTCATGAAGAATTTAAATGATTAGTTGACAGAAAGGGTATATAAATAAATGTTTGTATGAATGATTGAAAATGCCAAGAGTATTTATCAGCAGCAATATATGTAAGTCTTAAAAAATTCTTTGTTTTTTTTTTTCTTTGTACAGCAAGATTTGTGAAAGAGATTGGTATTTCTGAAGGTGTGTTTGTTACTAATGTACCAGTAAAAGGTCTACTATAGTAGAGGACAGTGGTCTCTGATCTACTCTGCATTGTACAAGTAGTAACAGTTTTGTATTTTCTGTGAGCATTAGTTCAAATCACAGAAAGTTACTACTTTATGTGAAACGGGATTTCAGCTCAGCTGTTTTGTTCCTTGACAGTCATCCAGACACTGAAATGTTCTTCATATTTGTTGCAAAACATCTTTGCTCAGTAGGTGGTGAGGATTAAAATGTATGAATTTTTAATTGCTCTTCCTCTGGCCTTTTAAGAGAGCTTACTAAGAGAGCATTGCATGAACCAACTAGCAGACGGATCCTCCTTCTCAACCTTGTCTGACCTACTTACATATTTAATTTAAGAAACCAAACTTTAAAAGAATACATTTGTCTTTTCTAAATATATATATATAAAAGTCTCTTCTGAAGTGTCTTGAATTGATTTATCAGTAGTTACAAGCCCTCAGAATTGTAAGCATTTAGATAAAAAGGATAAAAGTACTTTGCCATTGTTTCAGTTCGTTGGGTCTTTCAATAGAAATTATGCCATTGACAGTTCACATGAGATTTTAAATCTTGATTCATTTTTTTTTTTAATCTCTAAGTGACAAAAAATACTAAACATTTTCACAACTGACTGGTTGAGACTATAACTGAGTTATTTAGCTGTGTTACCAGCGACATGACGTGAGGGCAGCTGAATTTCTCACAAAAGGCAATTGAACATCTGCCAGATATTCCTCGAATTTTCATTTGGAAATGTTAAGCCATTATCCATGCCAACACCATTTGTACTTTTGTCTCCCTCTGCCTATGCAGTACAAAAAAACCTACTCTGTACAAAAAACAATTCAGCAAGGTAGAAAATAAGTAGGAATGCATTTCTTACCTCTGCTAAAAATCAGCTTGTTATTGAATGATAATAATTTTCAGATACTTGCCCTTTTCTCAGTCCCTACTTCTGGGTCCATTGTGAGATATTTGATATCTTCTAAATACTGATTTTGATACTGAGGGAGGTTTCGTGGAATGAAAACCATTTTGCTAATTATGTAAATGTAGATTAAAAAAAAAGGCAATAACCCATTGCTTTTATGCATCATATTGGGTTTTGCTGTATCTATTTGTTCATCTGATTATTGTGTACAATCTGAGCCATGCTTCTTGAAAGACAAAGCATGAAAATAGCTTCAGTACATGAATAATAGCTCAGATTAAGATGTGTCTAGGCATCTTAAATGCTCTTAAAGCTTTTTGTAAGTCAGGAGCAATATTCAGTTTTGCATACCTGCACAAACACACATTAGAAAACATTCACTTTGTACCTTATAGAATCATAGGATGTCCTAGGTTGGAAGGGACCTTAAAGATGATCCAGTTCTAACCCCTCTACTGTGGGCAGGGACACCTTCCACTAGATCAGGTTGCTCAGAGCCCCATCCAGCCTGACCTTGAGCACGTCCATGGATTTTCTCCAATATTGCATCAAACCTGTAACTCTGCTCTTTTCTTCAGGGTATGACTGTGGAGATCTGCAGCCTGATAAGAGTTTAAAAGAGAGAGTTGCCTAATAAGGCTTCATTTGTCACTACTTACAATTCATCTTTTTGTGCTTATTTGTGGTTTTTCTACTTTAGTGTCAAACTAATTTAGCAGATTATTTTTCCTCTGCTTATCCCATGGTTCCTGTATATGTTCTCATTTAGAAAATTATCATCACTCCTTTCAAAAGACATATCTGGAAGGTTTCTCCTGTAGACTGTGCTATGAAATGGCATCCATTAATTGTTTGAGTTACATGGGAAGCAGTACAAGTAATACATGACATGAATTAAACATGTGAGCACAGCTGACCTTTAACAAATACTTCTGAGTTCTTGATATTGGTTTGATGTTGCTTTGTGATTTACTTTTTATTCCTTACAATGGAAGCTTCCATTTTGCTTTTAATAAGGAGTGTGCCAGTTTGTACTCGAGGAGGCAGATTGAATCTGGATTTTCTCTGTGATCTGAGCTGTTAAAATAAATACCACAGGGGTGTAATGGTGTTGACCTCTGAAAAGGGTTTTTTTTTTCCTCTGTAAAGGATTCTTCTCAGCGAGAAGTACTGTGTTATAATGAAGATTTTTATAGTTTCCCTGCAGGTTGCAAAAACGTTCTCAAAAGAGAATATCACTTTTCTTTAGTTATTGCTGTACCATAGAGCTGCTGCCGGTTTATGAAACTTTTTATATCGATGCATCTTTCCTTTCCATAGTCAAGATTTAACACCACTTTGTTCCTTGCCCTGTGCAGCTGGATAGAATTCTTGAATAAAGTAGTTTGTTCCAAGTTGTGTTTTATAGGCTACAGGAAAGATGCTGTTCCTTCTCTTTGGTATTCAGCCAGTGCCCTGCCGTGCCACACTTGTTGGACACTGGCTCCAGGGGTGGCTGAAAAGGCTGATGTTAAGTACCTACACTCCCTTTACATCAGCAGGCTCAGCAGAATGGCTCTTCAGTGCTCTGGTAACTTTATAACAGAGACAGTGAATGGGGCATGTGAGACCCAGGACATTGCGTGAACAGCTGTGGTTCCAGAAGCCTACACTTCTGGGTTTGAGTGTCTTCATCCACTTCTGAATCAGTGTATCCTCTTCTGAGAGAAGGAATATTGTGAGAGCAAAGTTTTCCTCGGAAAGGAAAACATTGTTTGAATCTCCACAGCCTGATACAGACTTTATCTTATTTTTTAAATCTTGTCCAAATTCTTTAATTGCTACAAGTCTGGAGCTGACGTGGCCTTATGCACTGGGCTTTCAAGGAACATATTACACACTATTCTGAGGTCTCAGTCAGGCTTCACACAAATTTTAGCATAGTTGTTGAATTGTAGAGGGTTATGTACTTCTCCAGACCAACACTTTTTGCAGCAGGTATTGACACTTAAGATCTCATGGACCTCTCTGTGGACCCTTGGGATCCAGAAATCCAAATTTGCATCTGCGGGACTGGGCAGCCCAGTGAAAGTGGTTTGGTTTGCTCTTTGGTGGCAGGACCTCACAGGGCTCTTTTAGGAGAGGTAGTCTGAGTGCTACTCCAATGGCTGGAATTACAAAGTTACATTGCTAAGGTTGTGTACTGAGCAGAGGTTACCTCTGTAAACCATGTCTAAGCAGTTATGGATAACAAAAGAATGCAACATAACCAATTCTGTGCTTTCCTGCCAAAATATATTGTATTTCATATCTTACTGAGTCAGAAGTTGGGTCTCCATTTCAGTTTTAGTTTCCTCAGATAAACAAGTCCAGCCCATTGCCCAGAGATCTGCCTTTTTATATTGCAGTCTATAATCTATATATTTCCCATTCCATAAATGAAATTATTTTCATAGAATCATAAAATACCCTGAGTTGGAAGGGACCCACAAGGATCATCTGAATTGATATGTATATGTTAGATGCCTATTTTTTCTTGTTCAGGAGTACTACCTTTATTTTTGGCCCAATTTAGTTAAATTTTGGTTGAAAAATTCTCTTGAATAGACTGAGAATTAGCTGTATATATAGTAATGGTGTCTGAAAAACACAGCTGCTCCAAGATTTTTCTGGAAGTAGAAAGAATGAATGCATGGTATTATAAAATGCTGAAGTTACATTTTTTAATAGTGCTATTATTGTCTTTTTTAACAATCTCACTTGAGAATATTAACCTCAGAAATGTCTATGTCATCTCACCTTTTTTAACCAGTTCTCTTATATCCATGTGAATTGTTCCTACAGCTTTGTTGTGAACTGCTTTTGTGTTGTAGCTTCCTTGCTTGACTTCTATATTTTTTCTTCGCATTTTATATTCCACAGAGCACTGTTGAATCCTGATAAACAATTTGCACATTCTAGTTTTATGTCTTAATGCAGGAATAGAGAAATACAACAAAGTAAAATATAGGCATGCTTTATAAATAGTATTTTAAAATATTCAGAATTTTAGAACCCCTTAAGGTGTGCTAATTTAAGAAACTAAATTCTAAAGTCCTGTGTGTCTTTTCTTTTTTTTTTTTTTTGTTCTTCCTGAGAGCTTATTACTTCATTGGCTGACTGTATTATTTTTTTTTAACATCTCATGACATACCCACAGGCATCAAGGACATATATGTTAGTTTAACCTATTATTTTGAAAGAAAAATTCAATAATTAATATATAATTATATATAAATATCCTTATGTATGTCAGTAGTGGATCTGATATACATTCTTAGACCCCAGCTAGCTTGCTTTAATGCTCACTACACCGAAGATCTTGAGCAATTATAGCACAAGCTGCTGTGCTCTTTAATAGACTTAGCAAAAATGATAAATATCAGCGATATCATGTTAGTATCCTTAATTCTGTGTTGATATTCATAACTAACATGTTAATATTCATGTGCTTAAAGTTTATTGCAGTTTTTGGTAAGTGATTTTTAAGAAAATATCGTGATTTGAAAAGGCAGTGAGAGGTCTTACTTTGTGTTTTCTGAGGTTAAGGTTCAGAAACGCAGTTTGAACAGTAACAACATTTTTTGGAGTGGAGAGAGGAGGGCAGAGGGGGGGCTGAAAGTAAACAGGGCATCTGTTTCTTCGGTTCAAGTTAAATATTATGTCTTAATTTCGCTGGTGTACGATGTCATCATAATCATTATTCTCTTTCCACTCTGCAGACTTGCCACCTCCTCCTGTGCCACCTCCGGCTATAAAATCACCGACGGCCCAGTCCAAATCCCAGCTGGAGGTGCGGCCGGTCATGCTGCCAAAACTTGCTTCCATAGAGGCGAGGACAGACAGGTCTGCGGAAAGGAAAGGAGCCAGCTACAAGGGGAGGGACGGGATGGACGGGAGGCAGCACTCGGACGTGCGGACGAACTCGGGGGAGCGGAGGGAACCCCAGGAACAGCAGAGCGACGGGAAACTGCGAGGAAACAAAGCACCAAAACGAGACGGCACACCAGCAAAAACTCATCTTCTTCAAGGTTGTTTTGCCTGCCCTGGGTTTGCTGAAGTATTAGGTGCTGATCACAGGGAACAGGCCAGCTCTTCTCAGGCTGCTGAAGTGAAGTTAGGTCTGCTGAATTGCCACCATTTTATTGTGATTATACAGTGTTAATTTAGGTCACACCACAGGTTCTTGTTAGGGTAAAATGGAAATACAAGCTTAGGAAAAGCAGATTTTCTATCTTACTGTCCTTAGACCCATCATGTATTAAAGCTAATGCTTAGGAAGCCCGAACAGAAATATTCCTTGAGAGTTGTAAGGATCAGTGTCCTTGCTCCTACCTATACATTTATAGTCTAGTTATATTTAATCTGTCTGATTATTATCTCATTTATAAGGGAACTGAGTAAAGTCAGATAGAGATCTGTAAAGCAGATACTTAACTTTTCTACTGAAGAATCTGCCCTTGGCCCATTTTGCCTATTCGCAAAGGAGAAAAGGACTAGCAGAATACCTAGTCCTGCTTAAAGCATAAGAAAGCCCTAATAGTCAAGCACTAATTTTAGTATTTATAACTGACATGGCATTGTATGAGTTAGATCTAATCAAAATAATCTCTTGTGTATGGAAGTTGGTAAGATTACTAATTAATGGAACATGATTAATGGGACTTGCCAAGTGTTCACTAAGACTTTCAACACAGATTGATACAAATGCCTGGTCCTTGCTACCTGCAGGTATCCATGGGTAATATCAGGGGTGATTGGGTAGTAAGTTGGTTCAATGGACACATGAGTAAGAGTTTGGTTACGGTGAATTGCTATAGAGAAAAGTTATTAGAAGGTTACCATAGAGGATGATGCTGAAATTTTGAAATATGACCACTAACTGTGGTTCAAATTCAGTCCAGAAAATGCAGGTTCCAGTATTTATATGGAATGAGTTCCTTGTATCATACATATATTGTCATTTCCTCCTACTCAGTCATATGGAAAATATACTACAAGGAGTGTTTTTTTCATTTTCCTGTAGAACATAGAGCAAGGATCCTAAATTGAAATGAAGTGGACAGTAATCATGAATTAATTTTTCTGTGGAGAATGTTACCGTGTAAATACTATAAATTTCCTCAAGAAAGCTTCTATAATGCTGTTATGGAAACAGTGTATTTCATATTCCTTTCAGGCATCACTTTAAACCTCCTGGGAATCATAAAAAGTAAAATAGATCAACTGCATGCAGAAATTTTAGGTTCACGGTATCGCTGGGCTTGTAACCATAACAATGTATGCATTTAATTATACAGAGGACATCCTGCCATATTCTAGACCAACGTTTCCAACATCAAATAATCCTAGAGATCCCAGCTCCTCCAGCTCTATGTCGTCAAGAGGATCAGGAGGCAGACAGAGGGCAGATCAAGTAAATCTAGCCCGAAGGAATGTTGCGGAAATGCAAGTACTGGGAGCGTATGAACAAGGAGAAGAGGAAGAAGAAGAAGAGATGGAGGTAACTGCAGTTGTAATGCTGAAGATGACAGAATAAGGCTATTTTCTGTGTTTAGACAGATGCCAAGAAAAAACACTTTTGAACCAGAAATATTTCTGTTCAGAAAAATTTATCTGTCTATTAAAGTTATGCCCAACTCAAGAAAATAAACTTTAAGAATGTGTCAAAACCATAAAAACCAAATAATATATATAGAGCACAATATAATTGTCAACACACTAAAACTTATGGAATAGAACTTGCAGAAATACATTATTTTAAAGTGCACTTTACCTTATCCAGATTCTTTTGAAAGTGAAAATAAAGAACTAGAGCATCTAAGAACACCCTGACATCACCTTTCACAGTTTTTAATAGTTTATCATTCTGTATTTTTTCAGATATTGATAAATGAACTTTTTTCTTTTTTTTTTTCCTGCCTAATGATATTAATTCAATTTAAATCCTGATTGTAGAAAGGGTGGCCAACATACAGTCACGCTGCTGTGCGTAATTAAAAGTAGTAATTATCATGTGAAGGTAGCAAATCTCTAAGAGGTACGTAAAACAAATTTTAAAAAGTAAAATTTAACATGTAGTAATTTATGTCCTCTTTTTTTTTTTAATACAGGAAACAGAAAGCTGAAGACAGCGACATGTACTGTAACAGGCTTTTAAAATCTGATCAGAAAAAAAAAAAATCACTTAAGATGCCTCAAGTCTGATGATGTTTGACGCCAGAAATAATGTTCAGTGCAATCAGAGTGTACAATTTTTCCTTTTTTTTCCTTCATGCCATCAGATTGCTAGTTCTTTTTATTTTACTCTTTCTTTCTAAGCCCTCCTTACTAGGAACGGCCCCTGCCTGTTCCGTAACGCTAAAGCGCATCCCCTTCGCTGCCCGAGAAGGCAGGTCAGCTGCTCTTCGTGGTACTTGGGCCAGCTGCTGCTTCTGGAGTAGAACAGAAGGGAATTCCAGAGCCTGGGATCCCAGGGTTTCTCCCCAGCGAGGCAGTGCTCAGTGCACTGCCGGCACACCAGTGAGCCGGTGATTAAAAAGATCCCCAAAGTGAGCATCCTGCAGAGCATCCTTTGGTTCTTGGGGTTTCATCTGCAGTCAGGGCAAATGGTACCTTGCCATTCCAATACAGACTGTGTGTCTTGTTTTCTGCCAGTCTCTTGCTAACCTTCTGCAGATGATACAGTTTGACGAATGCAAGTAAAATTAATTTGGGATGATGTGGCTCTTATTGTAAATATGTACTCATTTTAAATCCCCTGTGGTACTTTGATTTGTCTTTCCATTTTCATCATTAAGTACATTCTTATTAAAAATGTCCTTTGGGATAGGCAGGAGGTAAGCCAATGTGATTGCTGTTTGCCTAATCATAGCATGAGCAAGGTTATCTGAAACTTTTTCTAATTTTCAGTTTCCACAGTGCTTATGAAAAGAAAATCAATGGACATTTTTAATAATGATTAGGTAATATCATCAACTGTTACTGGCCCAAATCTCAGACCTCTACTTGTGTCAATTCACCTTAAAGAAGAAGTGCCACTTAAAGAAGTTTTGTTTGATCTTGGCGATGAATTTTTTTGTAATGCACTGCTTATCTTTTTTTTTTTTTTTGGTTTTAAAAGCACAATCACTAGACTTTGTTTGTAAACCATTGTAACTATTAACCTTTTTTTTTTGTCTTATTGAAAATGTTAAGCATTTGTTTGGGATATTTTCATCTTTTTGTTAATGCTCTATGTTTGTATTTGGAATATTTGAATGATGACAGACGGTAAAGTAGCAAATGTAAATGTGGGCCATAATCAAAACACTTCTCACTTTTCCTGGACTTACAGAAAATTACCAATTTTTCTGTGGCCTCTCTCAACATTGGATTATCATTAAAGCTGAAATAGAGGCATTAGTTGCATTGAATTTGCCAAATGATGTCCTCTGTCTGTAGATTTTATGATCTTTTTTGTAATTATAAAATTTCTTTGTCATTGGTGCTAATGGAAAAATGTGTGTTTGTTTATTGACAGCTATCAGGACTAGCCCCAATGGAAAAAAAAAAAAAGAAGAAAAAAAAAAAGTGTTTTGGTGTTTACCGAGGACTGAAATTTTTCATTTAGCTAATTTTTAAAGAAAGGTTCCATAGAAAGGGTGTGCAGTACTAAAGGAAAAATCCATGTGATTAATGTTTTCATTATGTTCATGTAAGAAACCTCATATTTTAGCCATAATTTTGCATACTGAGGATCCAATAATCAGAAAAGTAATTTTTGTCACATTATTTATTAAAAATGTTCTCAAATACATTATCTTTCTTGCATAGTTTCTTGTGTTCCCTGAAACATAATTTTAGGGGCAACTCTCATCTTATTTCTATTGGTAAGAGTCAGAATCTGCTCCACTGAAATCATGCAGTTACAGTAGCATGAGCAAAGTGGGAGAGCTGGATGCAGCCTAAGATTTTACATAATTACAATTGATTGCCTTAAAGATCTGATTTCTGGGCGCTTCATGAACTGTGATAATGAAAACTTCCCTTAGCCTGCCAGTTTCCAGAGAGAGCTGATGACAAAAATCTGTACCAACAAAATCATTTACCTCAGGGGTGAGACACATTTGTTGCAAAGGCCAAATAAGTGGAGAGAGTGAATATTATGAGTCGTATGTTTGTTGGGACCTGCACAAATGCAAGTTTTCTTACCTACCTGCTGTCCTGCTGGGCTGTAGCCATCCTGTGGTTGACAGAGTCCTGCTGTGGATCACATCCAGGCAGGTGATTGTCCCTTTTTGGCTCTTGTATTTTCAGAAGCCTGTACTCTTATTGATCACCCCATTCTTGCTTTTCCTTATCCTATTCCTGTCACCCTAGTTAAAAAAAAATAAAAGAGAGAGAGAGAGAGAGGAAAAGAGAAAAAAGATAACCAGCATGTTCCATTAAAAAAAAAAACAACAGACAAACAAACAAACAAAAAAACCCCACTGTATCTTTTATTCAAAAAAACATTTTTGCCTCCTTTGACTGCCTTTCCCGAGAGTTTTAAAGAGGCTGTAGCTAGATCCTAAGGTGCTGCAGTGTACTACAGCACCCCTGACTTCCCACAGAACACTGCTAGAGCCTTGACAGCTAATAAGCCTCAAGTATAATTTTTATTTGTAATTGTAGCTTTGAAGCAGGTATTAAGTAGAATAAGTTATATGTGTAACCTTTCTGTGTTGCTTTTTTTGGTGATGTCTTCAGTCCTTGTGTCTGAATTCAGACTCCCCCTGTGTTAAAGCCAGTGTTATCCAGACAGGAGCCCGGAGCCTGGAATGTGCCACAGGAGATACCCATCTGGCCTGCACCTTTCCTTTGGAGGAAGAAGGGAGGAGAGGTTGTTTCATGGGCACAGCTGAATGTCTTTCCTGGCATCAGGAAACAGCCTCTTGGTTTGGGTTCAAGCTTGTTGCCACAGCAGGGTGTGGGGAACAAGGCGGAGCTCAAGGAAATGTCTCTGAGCACGTCAACCCTTGGCACAGAAGCTTAAGCCACTGTCAAAGGTGTTGTGGTGCATTACAGAACTGGGATCTGGTTGCAGCTGTGGTGTGTAGACCTCTCTAAGGTGTATCTGCACAGAAACACTGGTGCTGCATGCCTGAAATAACAGGTAAGGCACTCCATTCTTTACTGGCACGGTGACCAACTGGAAACCACACACTGGATCCCCAGCCAATATCTGGAAGTCAGACTCCAGGTGAAGCTCTGACTTCAAACAGTGGTAGGTGGGAAATGTTGCCCTGTGAGGTTTTTATTAAGTTGTTATGAATTTTTTGATGGAGTTCCCTAAGAAGTTATTTAGATTGTTTTGTGATTGCATTCACCTATTATTAGCAGAGTCTTGAGACAGTGTGTGGCAGAGTTGTCAAGGATTCTTTGACCCACACTGGGTCCTCTGTGCACTGTGGTCATACCAAAACCAATGCAATTAAGATAAAGTATGCACAAGCTTGATTTTAAAATTATAACTCTTGTTCATCGGTATTGAGACACACTTTACTTAGTCTTTGGCATTCAGGTACAGTAAAACAAAGTCATCTGTGCATAGCTACATTACCTAAAGAATTATGAAGTGATTGAAAAGCCAACACAACAAAAGAAGTAGTAGTCAGAAGTTTTGTTTGTGCTCTATACCTGAAGAAAACAAGTACCTTACTAGAAAATGCATAACTTTTGTGTGCTGTGTTAATACAGTGGGTGTAGACATTTTATTTTTTCTTGCTGTGTGTCCTGTGAAATCCTGTATGACTTCCTATTAAGTTTGACTTTATGCAAAGTAATATGTCTTTCATATACCATGAAAGATGTCAAAAATAATATTTATAAAATTTTAGAAAGTGCCTTGCCTATATTTGTAGCATTATTTATCAGTTTATTTTCCAATGAGTAATTAGTCTGAAGCATTAACAGTAGAGTGGTTTTATTTTAGGGTAATGTAAATATGCCCTAGATCTGTATTTGCAAAAAATTGTACAGGAGTAGGTTAGCTGTAACTGATCATGGAACCCAGGCAATATAATAAGCTTCAACTCCATATTTTAACTCCAAATATATTTAATCTGTCTATCAGCTCACTTCCTGTGTTCCAGAGCCAACTATTTGTTACAGTACCCACCTAGTTAGCTTACTGCTTTAGTTAGAATGTAATTTTACAGAATGTTTTGCTTTCGACATTCTCTTCTGTACTTATCCATAATCATCTTCTTTCAATAAACTTAAGGAACAGAGAACTTACATGGGAAAACTGTAGGATCTGCCTAACATAGCATCTGTTCTGCAATATGCTTTTTCAAAAGCTAACCTTCAACCTCTGGATGCACAGCTCCTAAAAGAATTCTTAACTGTCAGCAACAGAACCAGCTATTAGAAATTAAAAGTACTATATCCCTGAAGTGAAGCTTACAAATTAATTAAAGGGTCTATTTGCAAGTGGAGAAAATTATTTTATACATTGGTTTTGCTTATATTACAAATGAAAATTCTTTACAAAGAAAGTCCTACTACTTACATATAGGAGAAGCATTATAGTATGTTTAGTGTGTACACAGGAAGATACTGGTATCTGCAAATGCAGATTTTCGTGTGTGTTCATGTGTCTGAGATTAAGGTTGGGAACTAAGATTCTGTTCCAAACACTCAGATGAAAGGTGAACTTGTTCATGGATGTTTGAGGTCTACTCACAGGAGTAACTCCAGTGTTGTCATGGACTTCATCCTGCCTGGGCGTGCCCTTCAACATCATTTTGTATTGAACTAACTGCAAATTGAAGAATTTAAGTCACATGATGAATCTTTAAAATTGACAACAACTGTGGATCTCAGTGTGAACCGTTTATCCAGGTTTGACTTTCTTCAGGGTTTTTTTTTCATTGTGTATGATGATTTCTCTGCTGCCTGTAAATATGGTCTTCATAAAAGCACACTGTCACTGTGCTGTCAGTGACAGTGAAACACTTGAAGATTAGGAACATTATTTCTTAAACTGCCACTTTCTTTTTATCAAGCCACTGAATTATGGATCACAGAAACAGTCAAAAATTAGAGATGACACCATGCAAACGAGGATCCTTTTACATTTTATGTCCATGTTGTGGATGTGAAAAAATCCCATCCTATTCAGAAAGAGGAAAAAGAATTGGTGAAACTGGAATCCAGTCTCTATGAAAAGCTATAAAGCAGGAAGACAGACTAGAGAGGGAGAATCAAGGGATATAAAGAGAAAAGAAAAATTGAGAAGCTGAGGAACCCAAGTCTCACTGAAGCTAATGGCAAAAATACTGTTGAAGTGAACTGTCCTGGAAGTAAATTACCTTCTTATGGAATGGCAAACAATAGCCATCACAGCGCAAAGAACACTGGAAGAAGAGTGAAATCTTTGCTACATGCTTGTTTTGTTCAGGGTCCTTGCTAAATATACACCAAATGGCCTCATTTTAAGCTACCAGAAGAGAAAAGTGGAAGTTTAATTCACCTTGGTATTCAGCCTGCTTGTCACATGATGTGATGAGAATGGGACCTACTCAGTTCTAGTCTCTCTATCTGGCATAAAGTGGAGCCAATTGCTCTTCACAATTTTTTTTTGGAGCATGACAATCAAAGCCATGATGATAAAAATAGTGTTTATTGATTATTTTTTTTTTTTTAGGCCTAAGATATTTTTAGCAAAGGCAACATCAGGAAATATAGAATAAAACTACTTAGTATTGACTTTTATTCTGTGGCTTCCCACAGTCTTAAAGCACAGATATAGTTCAAAGTCAGCAGCAAGGGATAACAGTAAAGAAGCCCTTATGGGCTTTGATGCATAGAAGGACAAAAGCAAAACAAAGCAAAATAAATAAATTTTTTAAAAAAACCTCCACCCCGCTTTCAGCAAATGGTATTTGAAAAGCACTTGGATAGCATGAAAATAATGACCAAGAACCTTTATTTATGCTATGTTAATTGTCACAGAATCAAAGGTTTTGTTATATTCCTGAAAAAGATGTTTGTAAAAGAAATTGCACTCTACTGAGGCAAGTAAAGAACAGTGCAGTTCCTCATGTCTCATAAAAGACTGAAAAAAAGTGAAGCTGAGAACTAGGTCCTGCCACAATCTTATCAGCAGTGTGCTAAGTCTTTGCCCCACTGATCACTCACCTTACTAATACTAATTAAAATAGAAACAAAATGTTAATTTGCATAGCCTTTGTTAATGGTATTACAAAAGTGGCAGCATTTGATGGCACAGACAGGTTAAAATTTACAAGCAATTGTAATCCCAAAGTCTGTATTTCTTGGATACTAATCCCTGAAATAATTGTAGAGAGAGCATAACAATGCAAGGTGCCAATGGAGTCCAGTCTTATAGGAAACAAAATCCATTTAGGCAGGTGGAAACAATTCATGAGTGCCAAATGGCTAGATAGATCGATCGATCTATTGATCTGTTCCTGGAGCTAACTTCACTCTTATGTGATCCATTTAGGAGAGAAACGTATATTATCATGCTTCTGCTATGGTAGGTTGAATTCTTTGCAGGACTTCATAAGAGTCATCACTAGCTTTATGTGCACAAGATGTAAAGGAAAAGAACGTACATTTGTTCAGTAACCTAAACTTTTCTGCCCTTCTATGCTTGCATTTTGACATTCTTTTCACTTGAATTTTACCCTTTTCTACAAAAACTGTCACAGAGTGTACAGGATGCTAAAACCCTTTCTGTTTGTTGAGCACATCTGTGCCTTTGGTGAGTACTTTGCAAATGCTCCTCTTCAGGGAGAATTTTTAATTTTT